TCTTAATATTCATACTAATAGCAGTCCTTGATATGTATCTAGAGGTTTAGAATGTATTTTTGAAAATTCTTCCAGTGAATATAGGTAGAGGATTGCGCTTGTCCTAAGCGTCCAAAGATATACATATCCCAATTGCTCATCTATCTATCACCAGTGTGCACTTCCAGTAATCACCGTAGTATATTCAGTTTGAAATGTATCTAGAGTGAACACCAAATTCATCTTTGGTTTCGTAGAGACTGAAGTTCTGCCTAGTATGCATGGTAAAAAAAAATTCTCCGATACGCATCAATGCATCGATGGACCACGATCAAATCCCCCCGATAAGGTAAAGGCACGGGCCGCCAAACCCAATCAGGGCGCCGCTAAACCTGACCTACAAGACACAGGTATCAATCTGCATCACTCAGGGCAAACTTCAAAATATAACGAAATCCCCTGGAGAAATAGTGCATAACGTCATCTATGTGATGTGCATCTGCAACACTACCCTACTACGCATCCATGGCCAATAACAGCCGGCAATGGTTGCCAAGGCCCAAGGTCGATCCATCGTAGAATGCATCTATTGCTGCATTCGGAAATCAAACTAGGACTGCAACCTCTGGGGGAAAGTATGTCATTCCACGGTTACGATGTCGCAGAGTTGCATCGACAGAAGTTATATACGTAACCAGTAGGTTATACTGGTTGTCTTTGTCTGGGTTGGTCCTCTGGTCCCCTGGATATATAAACCGTCGGGTAGCTGGGTGAAGACTCTTCCATATCTTGTTTACCTATACCTCTGTTCTCGAATATACTTCTTCAGTCGGTATGTATCTCACTTAGTCATACATGCAGTTCTGATGGTAAATTGACAGACCACAATTGCCACCAGAAAACAGAATGGACATTAATAAGCTCAAGAAGGGTCTCAACGACACCACTGAATCCGCAAAGGATCAAATCAATAAACGTATGTACAAACCTGAAGATTCTTTTTGGTGTATAGGGACGATTTAACTAACGAATACACAGTCTACGGTAAGTAACGAATTTAAAACTTACGCTTTGTTCTGCTCTACTCCACTACATGATGCTCATACGCAGTAGAAAAACCAGGCGAGACCGCAAACGATGCTTTGAACAAGGGCAAAGAACAGGCTGCCTCTGCTGCTGACAACGCCAAGGCGGCCTTGGACAAGGCTCTGGGCAAAGGAGAGAACAACAACGCTTGAAAGGGTCGACATTTAATCAGGTAACATGGTTGGGCTTCCATCCTACTGTTTGTGCAAAGACCCGCTACGGTAGGAATGGTTAGATAAACAACATAAGCCATTTGAAGTAATTCATGTTTCCTTGCAAAGGCCACTTTTAAGTGAATATGTTTAGTCTCGTGTGCTGCGCAGCAGCCATATACGCTGATCAGCCGCTGTACGCCTTGATTCAGTTTAACTGGGTATATCTAAATGACGTGGTACGAAGAGAGACACGGAGAGAGAGAAAATAGAAAGAGGAAGAAAATACCGAGACCAATTGCTGAGGGAAAGCCACTCAATGGCAATGCCAGCTACATCACTATGCATTTATTTCGTTTTCTATTTCTTTCGTAAATGGTGCGTTCGTTCCATTCCTCTATACGCCTCCTCCAGAGGTCGTTCGACGGTTGGGAGCTCGTGGAGAGTGTAGGGTCAGTGGATGCCCGGCGATTAAGAGGTGGTATAGCTGGCGACTCCTGCCGAATGTCTTGCGACTGCGGGCGCCGGCCCATCGACCTATGGTACCCGGTACGTAGCCATGAATCGCGTGGGATGTCCAGAGAGGCGTACTGGGGGTCTGGGAATTGTAGGTTGGGTGACGAGAGGGAATAGGGATGATTAAGATTAGGCAGCATATCTGGAATTTCAGGTACAGCGTCTTGCCATTCTAGAAGTTCTCCTGGGCTCACCACGGACTCAGTTTGGGTCTCCTGGAGCGATGCTTGCTGCACAGGAGCTGGCAATATCGTCGCCGTTGTAGCTGCAGTGTAATGGAGATTCGTTGAGTCAAGGTTCCCTACAGTGTTTTGGTCAGCCTCTTGAGAAGTGGCTATGGCCTGCGGTTGTATATGCAGGGGCGCCGACGGCACGCTGGGCACCTCCCCATTCTGAGAGTACGGGTGGTCCGAGGCTCCTCTTTGGACCAAGTTGCTTTGTGTTCGGCTAAGGCCGGGGGCCTCTGAAGCTCTGGTTGTTCTTCGCACGAGAGAGGCTAATCTAGATCCACTGATGGTATTCAGTCTTTGTAGAGGAGTCCGAGGCAAAGGCTCCTCGGCCATATCCTCTAGGCGAGTAGTACGAGACCTTTGAAGTCCATCTGGTACATCGCTGACTCTTTGTGCAGGCTCGGTTCTTGAGGGAAGAAGGGTTCTTCTAAGATACTCCGGAAGCGGTGCATCGGGCTCACGAGTATAGGGAGGTGGAGGGGGAACCCAGTTATCGGCGTCACTTTCATGAGGAACCTGAAAGATCGGAGGAACCGGTCTCGCCTCAAGAACACGCCGTGACTCGTCACGATATCGTGGGTTGTACCGTGTGCGACTAGTAGCCGCTGCGGTAGCAGCACGACGCAGTGTATCTCGGGAACGCGGCTGGGTGTTGTCATAGGGAGTGTCTGGAAGCGGAGGTGTATCACCATCACCTATATCATTCGAGGAAACAGAGAAGTAAGAACTATTTCGACGAATGATTAACGGTGGTGATTGGCTCATGGAAATAGCTGCTGGGTACGATTCACGAGCAACAGTTCTGGCCCGGTAGGAAGAATTGCCACGATGCAAACGCGTTCTTCTTCTTTCCAACTCAACCTCTGTGTCCAAGCTGGTATTGGGTTCGTGGAGCATCTTCGGCTCCGTCTCGCCAATTTCGATGCTTATTTCAGTGGAGCTCCCATCTTTCGGTGATCGCTCGAAATCTAAAAGTAGCACTCGTCCGCCATCAACCGGAACATCTTCTTCACCAATTGTCGGAGGGCTAATGCCGCCGGGTGCCACAGCCACCAGCCTACGATGGTCAGCCGGAGCGTCGGCATGTCGTACCCAGCAAGCAGCAGTTATCCCAGACATATCGCTCATCTTATGACCCCTGATAAGCATCTTCGACTTGGCGATAGAGTGTTGCAGTCGTTGTGCATTATCTGGTAGGGACACCATCTCCTCCGCTCGGTGACTTGGGCCATTGTCCGAAGCACAAAGTGCGGCTGCCAAGGTACTTGACGGTGCAATATCAAGGCGGTCCGGTATGCCATATACCCAGAGACCGGAATCTTGGAAACCTAGGGCGGCAAGCTCTCCAGTACAATCAACTGTCGGCAGCATGATTGGTGGAGACTCCTGCAGTCCATTTCCAGATGTCGGACTCACGAAATATACTGTACCAGAATTCACATTGTTGGCCCCAATCGCCCTGAATGCGGCGGCCTCTTTATCAAACCCCAAGATCCAACTGCCGTCACCTTCGGTATGTAGTGGAAGAAGGCAAGCGTGGCTATAGCTTTGTATAATCTCAGGAAATAAAATCTGAGTGGTCCACATGCGTGTATGGGCTTCCCTGGCCGAGATATCGGTAACAGGCTCTGTGTAGAACGGTACTGTGATAGTGACTAGACTGGTATTCTGGCTATCGCTAGACGAACCGAGCAGCATGACCCCATCTGATGAAAACGCAATGGAATCCACGCCAGCACAGCGTACGGCTCTTCGCTCGGTCGCAAGTGTTCCTTCTCCAATTGCGTATACTTCGATCCTATCGGTATACGCGATGGCAAGAACGCCGCCTGTTGGAGACAGTGCTAGAGCCTGTGGGACATCATTCAACTTGATATTTTGAACGTGCCTTGCTTCTTCGTTAGATAAACTGTATATGTTGACTTGATGGCTAGATGACACCACAGCAAGAAGCGAACCATCATCAAGGATGGTAGCGTTCAGCGGACGTCTCCAGGTTTTGAGTTCATGTCTCACTACAGCTGAGCCAGATGCCACATCGAGAACAACGATCCTCGAAGAGCTTATGCAGAGGACTAATTGAGCACTGGGTGAGAAAGCAAAACGAAAAGCCTCTCCATGTGGGAAAGCTGTCGAAGAACTCATTGATGTTGAAATAAGCTTCACCAAGGTTTGGTGGGGTCTAAGGAAGACCTCGAAGGCATTGCGTCTTATCTCTGCCCCAAACTTCAGCTTCAGGATAGCAAGGTCATCCGAAGTGACTTCATCTGAAGTGGCTTTTGCCGTCAAAGAGAAGGATGGGCAACGAGATAGATGGTGAGAGTATAATAGAGGCGAATCTGAGATCCGCCTCCATTTTCGGTTCAAAAAGGCTAGAGACGCAAAAGTGTTTGCGTCGACAACATAAAGGATGCTGCATAGCCGGTTAAAACAGTTCTTATCTTGAAGGACAAGTTGTACCAGAGACGTCTTTGCTGGCGGGCGCAAGAGTCACCGCAGTAGCTGTTGGGGCCAAGAAGAACGTTATAACTTACTGCTCAATTATTGTGCGAGGTAAACTGTTGAAGAGAGATGAGATCAGCTCACCTGACCGCGATTGGCTCTTCCCAAGCGAGCCGTTCTGTTGTTGGCTGGAGCCTGCACTCGGAAGCTGCTCAGGGTCGTGATGAGGACCATCGAGCCGCTCAGCACTGGGCAGCCGAACATCCTCCTCCATGGTCATCGAGTCATAAAAGTCTACATTTGCTGGAAAGAATATACTATCGGATTCAATTGCACATCGCCACGGGGTTTTCTAGGCAGTAAAGGGGCGAAGTTTGGAGAATCAACCGAAGCGCTTGTGGAAGGACGGAGGCGCCAGCTTTAGCGGCCCGGTGGCTGTGTCTCCCAACGCCAATGCAACGATGATCTGGTGCCAGCGCGTACATGAGATGAGACGCAGGCGTAGCTCAAATGTTTCGGATTAATTATGTGCAGAAATGTGGATCTCCCTCAGTAAGATCCCCGATGCTCCAGACAACGACGAGAAACGAGCAACCGAGCACGATCGCGGGGAAGAATCCATACGATATACTGCATTTCCAAGGCATAGGATATAAATAGAGAGCCACGTCCAAGGCACGTGGTTGGTCCTGAAGGCTGACTCAGCTTCCCCACACTTTCCGATAAGAAAATGGGAACTTGGTCTGGGAGAAAAGCTAAGGAGACCTCCGCGATTTGTCACCTCAGATATGTCTTGATTTACCCCCCTCGGATTGAGTCACAGAACAGTAGCGTGGACTATGAGGGCCTCTGTGCGACTTCGCGACTAACATCATCTGGTTCAATGTCGCTTGCATTGACCGTGCGCTAGTCGGTTTTCATGACCCAAACTCGATAAGTGTGCCAGCCCTTACAGTATTTGCCTCGCCGCCTGCACCTCAAGCGCCAATTCCTTGACAACCTCGGATAGTTTGTTTGCGCGTACGCGACTCTCTCTCAATTGGGTCCTCAAAGACTAACAATAGCCGTTCTTGGATTAATAAGCAGCCTATTTGAGAGTCGTCATGCCACCTGCGACTGCTCAGAGTAGCTCTGCTACTCAAAAGCTTGTGACTCCGGGATTTAACGCCGGCGCAAGGCCATACAGATCTCACAAAGTCAGGGCTTGTGACTTGTGTCGGAAGCGCAAGTCCCGATGCACGGTGGATATCCCAGGCCAGTCATGTCTCCTATGCCGAGTCCAGGGAGCAGATTGTCATTACCAAGAAGAATCCAATCACGATACATCCAATGCTAATGGCCCCGACCCCAAAAGATGGTCCGTTGATAATACCAGTGAAAGCTTGCCCTCTGGCCAGAAGCGCAAGCGTACCCCCCACAGCGATTCGCCTCCCAGTCGTCCACGAGAAAGTACTTCCACCCTACCCCGCGCGAGTTCCGTAGTGGACAGTCGCAGCAGCGAAACGCGACGGCAAGGAGTTGAAGATCCTCACAATGAATCCGTTCATATCGTTGGTCCCGTTGTGGCAGATGATGCGCAGGTAATCGAGAAGTTTATGCCGCCAGAGCATTCCAACACGAACGAGGACCCTAACAGCCATCCGTACAATGTTTACTCGAACGATCCGAGAAAACCCATCCTGTATACAACTATCTCTAGGCGGAGACAAGGCATGCGAGTTGGCATCCCACCTGGAGAGAACCAGAAAGAAGTTCTGGAGCAAATACTCGGGCCTTTCAGGCATGATCTAGTTAGGCTGTACGCTTTCGATCGTCTCTTAACACAACTAAGTACTGATTCCTATCTGCAGCTTTATAGACAGGTTCAACGTAGCATTCCCAATCTTTGATGGCGACAGCTTCTGGGAGGCATACATCTCGGAGGTCCCAGGGGAACCACCTGCGTCTCTTATATGTCAGGTCTATTCCATGTCGCTTGTCTACTGGAAACACGTGCCGAAGCTTGCCAGCCACCCCAAACCGGATGTCCGATATGCAGTCAACATGACCGTGGCCGCCCTCCACGAGGAATTCTCTGCCCCGGGCTTGTCGACTATAAGTTGTGCTCTGATTGATCTAACCGGGCGGCCAATATTCTCCATGACCGGCAATGCTATCAGTTGCGGTCGAATGATATCTCTCGCTCACTGCCTTGGCCTGAATCGAGATCCCAGCCATTGGAAGGTCTCTCAGAGGGAGAAAGATCATCGTATACGATTATGGTGGGGTGTCGTGATACACGATCGCTGGTGAGTCCCTTTATGTACGGTCTCTTATTGTTGCTGACTCAGTCGAAAGGGGGAGCTTTGGTCACGGTGTACCTCCCCAAATTGCCAAGAATCAATACGATGTCCCACTCCCTACAATCGACGGTTTACTGTCGCCAAATGGTCGCACCAATGAGCGCGTGAGGGCCGCTCACTGCCACATTGCGCTGTGTCGCTTGACGGAGATTCTTGGCGAGCTCATGCCACTCGTATACGGCTTGCAACACCGAGTTTCACGCGAGACCTCCAAGAGATTACGACAGATCAGAACTGATCTCGACATGTGGGAGGATTCTCTTCCTGACTGGTTGAGGTCACCAGCAAGTACGAGCACGGAGGAACGTATCTCTGGGACATGTAGCTTGCAGCTGGCCTTCCTGGCCGTCAAGATGCTTGTAAGCAGAGTGGAACTGAACGTAAGTCACTAACACTGCACAGCTTCAAATGCATGCCTAACAGGTCAACCATAGGAGGTCAATAGTGCAGATACCGATAACCCAGAGGCACGGCGCTACTTCCAGACGGAATGCCGACGCTCTGCTGAAGAAATCGTTCAATTTATCTCGTCACTCCGGAAAGAGAACTTCCAGGAGTTCTGGTTGCCATGTATGAGATAGCCCATTAGAACCCATGAGATCCTCTGGTTTCAATATCTAACCCTGCCACAGACAGTGCCTTCCACCTCACATCCACCGCCACTCTTCTCGTTCGCTGCGCGCTGGAAACAACAGACACGGACGTAGCTCGCTCCTGTATCAACAATGTGGAGATGTTCCGGAGTATATTACGCCGTGTCAGAGAAGAGGAGGACTGGGATGTAGCGGACATGTGCCTGGACCACTGCGATCGGATCCTCAACAGACTCCCTGGCAACGGAAGCACCCCTGACCTCAACTTCAGTGGTGTTGTGCAGCCTGATAACCGCTTGGTGAACCCGGCTGCAATTTCGCTTCCTGAGACGCAGACGAATAATGATATTGTTGATGATATGATGTCCATCTCCGGGACTTTTGGTACGATGGATGGTTTCCCGTTTGATATGACGGGTATCTGGGATGTCTCTGTTTTCCAGGACGTGAATTTACCATGATGTAACATGTTAGAGATGAACCGGGAGGGATTCTCTTTCAATTATACCCAATGTGAACTTTATATGTATGTTAGTTTTCGACGTAAATATGGTGTCTAGTGCAAGTACTTCTATATCTCGAAAACAAAAAACTTGAATTTTAAAGACATTAAACTTGTAATCTCATTTATACAGAAGACATATAATGAACCAAATGCTATTTTACATACAACCCATGATGATGCTCAGGAGCCAAAAAAGGAGAACCTCTAATCATAACCCCACCCCCAGAAAAAAGCACCTCAGGTACACATTAAAAGATCCAATCGAGAGAAGAGGGATACTTCCAGTTGACAGCCAGGCGCCATAATCCTCAGGAAAACAATTACTGCTTGCCAGCACCGAACATGCTGGTGAAAGAGCCCTTCATCTGGTTCATCTGCTCCTGCCGAGCCTTCTCCTCTTCAGCGGCCATCTCAGCGAGCCACTTCTCACCGTTCTCACGGATCTCCTTCTCCATCATCTCGTAGTTTTTCTGGCCTCGCTCACGGATCTGATCCCAGAGCATCTTACCCTGGGCGAGACCCTCAGATGGGGTCGCTTCGCCGTCCAAGGTTCGGGTGGATTTCAAGCCAAAAGCAGAGGCCAAGCTACCCATGCTGACCTTAGGTCGCTTCTGCTGCTCCTCGCCCAGCTCCTTCTGGAACCGCTCACGCATGGCCTTCTCGCGCTTGGCGAACTCAACAGGGATATCGGTGCCCTCAAACGACTTTAGGACAGGGCGCACGTCTTCCACTCCCATACCGGCAATGTATTCAAGCAAAGGAATCAAAGCGACCAAAGTCTTGTCCTTGGAGTCGCCGTGCCACTTGTTAAGGATGATAGCGTTTTCGGGTTGCAGGCGGGCGTGTTCCTCCTTGGTGTCGATCAAGATAACCTTGGACATGTCACGGTTGAGGTAGGAAAGATCCTATATAGGTGCGGTCAGTGAGTGTACGATGTATTTTCATCTGTGTTTGACAAGACATACCTTGATATACTCTCCATCCTTGTATCTAGTGGCTTCCCTGAACAGTGGCCAGCGGATGATGCGGAAAGGATCGAGCTTGCGAAGTACCTGGTCTGCCATCATGCTTGGAACGCTGGTGAAAAGCACAAGTTCATAGTATTGGTTGAGGTAGCGAAGGAAATAATCAACTCCAGGTCGCTTGGCAACCCGCCATCCGTGTTCACGACTCCATTCACTGTGCACAAGCAAATCTTCCAAGCTCAGCACCAAGGTGTAAGGCTGGCGGAGATTGGGGTCTTCATCAGGGAGTAGCTTCGGGAAGGCGGGGTCTTTGTAGTAGCTGGTAATATCGCCAAAGCGAGCCTTGACGCGGCTGTACCAAAGTCCAAAACTCCATCCCGAGGGGACATCCGGATGAAGTCTCTCCTCCTCTTCAGTCTCCCAGTTCCGTCCCAAATAGGCAACACCACCTGCGCCAGCAAGCAGGAAAAGGGCATACATGAGGTTGGCCATCCGGGCCCTTCGGCGATCAAGAGACGAAACATAACCATCCTTGGGGATATCGCCGCCGTGACCATCATCCGTGTAGTCTTCGGAGCGGGAAGGGTCTTCGGTGAGATTCAGTGCAGTCGGTCCACGACCTTTCGAGCGAGCTTCTAGTTCCGCGGCAAGGGTAGAGGGAATGCCCTGTGTGAGATCGGGAAGTGGTTTTTGAGGCGCAGCTTGTTCGGCCGCCGTCTGGCTAAATTCAGCCTTGTCGAATCAGTCAGCTATGGAAATCGAAATCCATAGTCAGGACGATTACTCACAGATTCGGCAGTCTGGTTTGCTGTGTTTCTTTGTGCATCCGCATTGGTGTCGAATTCAGCTTGAGAGGCCGAATACTCTTGTTGTGAAGGCTGCGTAGCCTGGTCGGCTTTGGGAGGCTTGACAGACTCGGGCAGCTTATAAGGAGCCTTGGGTTTATTGTTCTTTGCGTACCACCGAGAGTGGGTAATCGGTAAGGCGGATAAACGAACCGTAGAGGCGAGGGTGTTAGACCTCGTCAGAGGCAATACTGCACGGCTAAGCATAGTGGAAAAGAAGAAAGTGTGATGTAATTAAGGATAGGCAAAGTCTAACAATGTACTCATGCTCTGCACAAGGTAGGCGGCTTGAGCGGGAGTTATAACAGGGCCTAACACCAGACCGATCCAACAAATGCACGAGAGTACGTTGACTGTCTGAGAGTCCGTCTGTCGAAGTCCAGAAGATAACCGGTCGAGGGTCAGAGCTTCGGAAAAGTTGCGCTGTCGGAGGTACGGCGAGCGGCAAAGCCCCACCGCGCACCGCGGCCTATAAAATCTTCCACCTTCGGCCGGTTTCTCCCTTTTCTTTTTCTTTTCTTCTCCAAGTTATGAAAGTTGAAACCCAGTCGGTAAATTTGACCCAACAAGCCTCTCGATGCATGACGGGTTGTATTAGCTGGGGAGACAAATGAAGTTTTGCTTCAATCCTGCACCCAAGAGCCGCAGCGAAGGATATCTGTGCAGCTGCAGCCCCGTTGGTGGGATACAAATTGTTCTCTCTATATAAATGGTGGTTTGATGTCCGCTACCCACCTTACAAAAAAAAAGTGTACTGTGTTAATTCGCAAGTTCAGTTAACTGTTAACTGCAAGAATGGCATGAGAAAGCACCTTATGAAATAAAGACTTCCTTCCAATAGAATATTTCTCTCCGTATTTTTTTTCTTTCTTTTTAGATTCGATCTTCAGCCATCATGGATTCCATATCAGAGGCCCTGGAAAAGGTACGCCTCGAGAATCTGCCACCGAAATCAGAGAAGATCCAGCTACCAGAAGCTGAGGACGAGGAAAACGAAGAATATATAGAAGACACAGCGCCGTTGGATCCGTTTCCCTTCTTCGACCTTCCGTCCGAGTTACGTTTGCGCGTATATCACATCCTTCTCTTTACCCCTCGCCGAAAGCGAGCGCATCTGCACACCAAGGGCAGTGTGGGAGCTTCGAAGAAAAATCCACCACTATCTCCAACATCCCACCGTATCAACCTCTTCCTTGTATCCCGGCGTGTGCACGATGAGGCCTCCGACTACTTCTATACCACTCAGACGTTCCGTCTCTTCCCCTTGCAGGATTACTCTCGAATGCCAACAATCAGTATGATACCGCCTAGATACCGGCCCTCCATCGCTACTATCGAATTAATCCTGGGCTCCAGCTGGACAGCACCTCCCAGCTCTTGGAAAGTCAACCGCCGCCTTGGTCTGGAAGAAATGGTTCGTGCTAAGACATTAAAGGTGTTTATTGAGGTCGACCCTTCGCATCCGGTGTTTGAAGGCTTCCGGATTTCTAAGAACTTCTACACTGAATTTTCTGGTGGCATACTTCGCGATGTTCTCGCCAAAATGCCAAGCTTAGAATATGTGGAGTTTGATGGGTGGCCATCCGTCCGCAAGAACGGGGCGTTGATGCAGCGTCTACTTCATGAAGCCAAAGCAGCCGAAAAGAAGATTGCTTGGGGCCCCGAGCGCGGATGGACAGACTGTGATGAGGAAGACATGGACATTCCCATGGTTTACGAGCTGAAGTCGATGCAGCGTGGTCGAGTCAATGATGTCCCACCTCAGACTGATTCGTTGTTCGGGCCTTAGCCATCGCCATGGCCACTCTTTGTTTAGCCTAATGTATCTCCTGATGATACTGAAAGTATAGAGTAGTACATAAACATTCATCAATATAGAGTTTAATAGTTGCTTGCTGTTTATTGGGTCTGACAAGGCAAGGTCAGGTAAGGTTGCTGATCTATATGTAGATTTATGTTGGTCAGGCAGTGCGATGAATCTAGCACAACGACTGAATTGTAGTTTTGCAGTGATCGAATAATATATGTTGAAACGTCATTCATTTATAATTGTTTCCGTGCATGATGGCTGCCCTTGCGAGATAGGGCTACTGTCCTGTACCTCGTCAGAGGAACAGAAATTATGATACTCCTCATAACTACTAATCATCTATAGGTCTTCGTCCACCTCCATGCTGGCACCGTTCTGAGCTCCTTTTCCATTTGATTGCCTGGCAACTGAGGCTTCCTTATCGATCATCTGCCGCGAGACTGCGACAATATTATCTTCAATCAACTGTTGACTTACATCCTCGATGTCTATAGCAATAGTTAATACTGATCAGGAGAACGCAGCCGGAGTTCCGAATATGACTTACGCTTCTTGGGATCGACCTTTCCGACATATCTCGTCTTGAGCTGCTCCTTGCTGAGTTCCGTTTCTTCTTTAACTCGTTTTTCATAGCCCTCGGCGAGGCTGACGAGCTGCTTCATGCGGTCGACGTTGTGCTCGCCTTCGTCATGGAAATCCTTCATCTGTAGGGCTTCGGTCCAAACATGCTTATGCAGGTTCATCAACATGTTCTCCTCCAACCCTGTCTTACGGTAGTTGATAGCAATGCTGTAGTAGTGCCTGTTCAGGCCATGGATGAGTGCTTGGATCGATGGCTTATTCAGGTGACCCAAATTGGATGTTGTTTGCCGAGGCTCCTGACCCATAACCACAGTCTGGGGTTGAATAAGTCGGAAAGCATCAATAACCACTTTGCCCTTGACGGATTGGATAGGGTCAACGACAACGGCGACAGCGCGCGGGGTGAGCTGCTCGAAGGATTGCTGGGTGTTGATATCGACAGATGAGAGCCAGCAGCCAAAACCAGGGTGAGAGTGATACCAGCCAACAACGGTCTCTGGCCTGCATAATTCAAAGAATCAATATCGCTTCAGGTAAGGTTAAGTACCTAATCAAGGCTTACCGTCCTGTTTGGCGGAGCATATCCATCATCTTAGTCTGAAAGACAGGGTCCACAGCTTCGACACTAACACCAGTACCACTCTGAGGCATCGCGAACACATCTACTACTCGAACTGTATATTCATCCACGAACTCTCCCAGCATCAGGCCCATGACTTCCATAGGCACACCTGCCCGACCATGTCGCAACATCTTCAGCAGAGCCAGCGATGAGATATGTACTGTTTCGGAGTTATCGATCAGGTTAGGGGTATCCTAAAGAAAAGCATATCAGTATGGTAGCTTCACAGGAGTGTAATTCGGATAGAGAGTCCTAATCGAGTACAGCGCCACGTAAGGTACCCGGATAGAACCGCCTTAGGAGAACAGTGATTAAACAATGTTGTGGCCCGACTTACACCACCGGGGGCAGCACCGCCCATGCCCATACTTTGGGCGGCCTGAAGCATCCGACCAAGTCGCTCCATGGCTGCTGACGGAATATGACTAGCGGAGATGCAAAGGTGAAGGATAGCTTCCTAGGCGGAAGCCCCAAAAGAAAGAAGAGTTGATGGGGGTGTCAAAGGATGGCAACGTAGGAGGGAGCTCGCAAAGAGCGCGATAATGAAGTAATGACTGAAAAGTCGATGAGGGGGATTGAAATGGGATGCAGGTGATAAGAGATGATGGTTGGAGGTGAAGCCGCAGTTGAGCTCCAAGAAGCCTGACTGACGAAGGCGGTGGACACAGCTTTGGACCGTTAATTGGCGTTCCCGCCTTTCTTTCCCCTTCGCTTCGACCTTCGTTCCTCATTCTCCCCGGCCATGGGAATGCGGTCCAGTCACTTATCATAATTTCTTGATTCTGCTATTCTCTCTCCTCTCTTTATTTGATAGGGCGCTCTAAAGCCAGGACCTGATCACCAAGCATCTGGACCCCTCCCCCTTGGCTCCTGCCCATCGTGCTCTACATCTTCCTTCACATTACCAGCAGAACCGAGAATTCGCCGTGTCCCAAGGCATATATCCCTAATTCCCATTTGAGCGAAGGCTATCGGTGTTCTATTATACATTGTCATCCAAGATGACTTCCTTAGCCCCCTTGGACCCGATCAATGCCAACGGGTCAGACCGTGGCAAGAAGGTCGCATATTTCTACGACTCCGACGTTGGTAACTATGCCTACGTCTCAGGACACCCAATGAAGCCCCATCGCATAAGGATGACACATAGCTTGGTTATGAACTATGGTCTCTATAAGAAAATGGAAATTTATGTGGGTGGCGATCGCTCTCTCAAGTTGTTACTGCACGGTGTTGGCATTTCTAACGTGCAAATCTCATAGCGCGCAAAACCAGCGTCTAAATACGAGATGACCCAATTCCACACAGATGAATATATCGACTTTCTTTCCAAAGTAACGCCGGATAACATGGACACTTACGCCAAGGAGCAAAGCAAGTATAATGTCGGTGATGATTGCCCTGTTTTCGACGGCCTTTTTGAATTCTGCGGAATTAGCGCGGGAGGAAGTATGGAGGGCGCGGCCCGACTTAATCGCAATAAATGCGACATTGCTGTCAACTGGGCCGGTGGTCTTCACCATGCAAAGAAGAGTGAAGCAAGTGGTTTCTGCTACGTGAACGGTAATGATGGACCATGTTTTTGGCTGCGCTGTCAAGACTCACTAACGCATTATTTATAGATATTGTATTAGGCATTCTTGAGTTGTTGCGCTTCAAGCAACGAGTGCTGTACGTCGACATTGATGTACATCATGGTGATGGTGTTGAAGAAGCCTTCTACACTACAGATCGTGTTATGACTGTCTCTTTCCACAAATACGGAGAGTACTTCCCAGGAACCGGCGAGCTCCGCGATATCGGTGTTGGACAGGGTAAATATTACGCTGTGAACTTCCCACTCCGCGATGGTATCGACGACGTTTCTTACAAGAGTATCTTTGAGCCTGTCATCAAGAGCGTGATGGAATGGTACCGACCGGAAGCAGTGGTTCTCCAATGCGGTGGTGACAGTCTTTCGGGTGACCGTTTGGGGTGCTTCAACCTTAGTATGAGAGGGCATGCCAACTGTGTGAACTTCATCAAGAGCTTCAATCTTCCCACATTAATTCTTGGAGGAGGAGGTTACACAATGCGCAACGTCGCGCGAACCTGGGCGTTTGAGACTGGTATCCTTGTTGGGGATCCTTTGGGCTCCGAGCTTCCTTATAATGATTACTACGAGGTGAGATTGTTTCCCTAAATTATGCTCGTGTCGGAAGTTGCTGACTCGAATAGTACTTTGCTCCGGATTATGAGTTGGATGTACGGCCATCGAATATGGACAACGCCAATACAAAAGAGTATCTAGATAAGATCCGTGTGCAAGTTGTCGAGAACCTTAAGCGAACTTCTTTCGCACCTTCCGTACAGATGACGGACGTACCACGTGACCCTCTTGTAGAAGGCATGGATGATGAAGCGGATGCGATCTTGGACGACCTGGATGAGGACGAGAATAAGGACAAGCGTTTCACCAAAAGACGATTCGATCAATATGTCGAGAAACCAGGTGAGCTTAGTGATAGCGACGACGAAGAGGAGTCCGCCGCCAACGGAGTCCGCCGCCAACCTGGCGTACTGAAACGGAGGAACCAAGTCAACTATCGCAACCTGGATGTTGAATCGGGACTTGAGAGCGGGATTGCGACCCCCGCCGAAGCTTCTTCGGTACCTGACGATGACATGGATACTACTGCCGATGCGAAGATGGGAGATGCCCCACAGACAGAAACTGACGCACCTGCAACCCCCTCCGTTGCCGAACCACCATCAAGGGCTGATGAGACGTCCGCAGCAGAGCAGACGGAAATGGTGATTGATGGTCAAGAGCAAGCAGCTCCCTCTGCCCCTATTTCTCGCCAGCCATCTCCCAAGGCACAGGATGAGGATACCACCATGGAAGATGTGGGTGACGTTGCGCCTGAAACAGAGCAGCAGGAGCAATCAGCAGCGCCAAGTGAGGCCCAGGCTGAAGAGAAGAAGCCCGCCGAAGAAATGCCAGCTACGGACAAACCTGCCACGGAGCCGCCCTCTCCAGCCGATGTACAGGCCCCTCAGAAGGAGTCCGTAGAGGATTCAAGGCCAGCTGAGGCGAGAGAGGTAGTGGAAACAGTGGAGGCCACTGAGACCAAAGAAAAAAGCCCAGAAGCTTCTAATGATGTGCCTGAGCCAGCCAAAGCAGAGCAGGAATCACCCAAGGAAGTAAAGGAATCAACCGGTGAACCTCAAGAGCAGGAGCCCACCAAGAGCGAAGCATAGTCTCCGCTTTTTAGAGGCGTTTTATCAGGTTCCGGGCGCAAGGGCTGGCAATATGGTGTTATGGTTTCTGGATCCATGAAGGAGGGTATTCTGCTATGTCTCATGTCTTTCTATTTTCTTACTGTAGTTTGAGCAATACTTCTTTTACCTAACTCATGTATCATGCGCAAATGCATATATTGGCCAAGAATTCAATAAACTCATACATATTTCCAAGAACCCCTCAAGTTACAGAAACACTTTGCACTACTGATAGAGCAGCATTATCTGGAGCATCCTATAGTTAAGTAGGTACTCCGTTGGTTACCACTAGGCTTACCTAATCTGTATTCAAACACTCTAATCCTAAAGAAGGATAGTGTATCGGCTGAGCCCTAACTCACCATAGGCCCTCGACGGGCCAATAGCACCGAGACGCCAAGATTTTACCCACGACACACTAAGCGAGAAAGCAATTCGGAAACCCGAGCAATCTCTCGACGACGCCTGATACTGTCGACCTTCGTCGCTTCCTTCGCCAATTTTCTAGTATCCGACACCGTTTACGTGATACACAGCCAAGATGTCTGGAAGAGGGTGAGTTTTTGATCGCCCTTTTTTTCTGCGTTGTTCGACTACGAGCGAGGGACTCTACAATGGTGGTCTGAGTTTATCGAACCGGGTTTGTGGGCAAGGTATACGGGGGCAAAGTGAATCAATCACTGGGAAGAAAGAGAAGGACAACGGCGGAGGATGGATCGCACAGGAGACAGGAATAGAAGAATGATGATCAGAAGAACAAACCGGGGAGATACTCAGACGCTTGTTGCGGGGATAGTTGGAAGAACCAACCAACTTCTTTTGCTCTTCATTTTCACGGTCAGAACATGAGTATGGGATTATGCTAACGAATCGCTTTTCTACAGTCGTGGTTCCTCGGGCAACAAGCTCAAGATGTCGCTCGGTCTGCCTTGGTACGTCGAAAGCCGATCCTATTCCGAATCATGAACCCCCAGTGTTGTGACGAAAACCCCATACATAATACCTACGTCCAGCAATATCACCTCCCAACGGTCAGGAAACTAACTGGTCTACTCTTACAGCGGCGCCGTTATGAACTGCTGCGACAACTCCGGTGCCCGTAACCTGTACATCATCTCCGTCAAGGGTACCGGTGCCCGCCTCAACCGTCTCCCTGCCGCTGGTGTCGGTGACATGGTCATGGCCACCGTCAAGAAGGGAAAGCCCGAGCTCCGTAAGAAGGTCATGCCCGCCGTTGTCGTCCGTCAGAGCAAGCCCTGGAGACGTCCCGATGGTATCTACCTCTACTTCGAGGACAACGCTGGTGTCGTACGTATTTCCCGTTAAATTTCGACATGGAACATTTGGGAAGGAAAAGGCGACTTTGCTAATAATCCCTCTACAGATTGTCAACGCCAAGGGTGAGATGAAGGGATCCGCCATCACCGGCCCCGTCGGAAAGGAGGCTGCTGAGCTCTGGCCTGTAAGCATCCCGTGTCCTTTGTGCCCTCGCAAATAATCGTGCTAATGGAATCGCCCAACAGCGTATCGCTTCCAACTCTGGTGTTGTCATGTAAACAAGGAGAACCGTCTTGGAAAATATTAAAGGAAATAGTTCGATACCAAGCAGGGGAATCAAATCAAATTCGTTTTGGGTGCAACTATGAACGGGAAACGAAAATCAGGAACGACCGGGTGATAATACTAGAACCGCGAGTTTCATCACTTCAATTTCCTCTATGACGTGTTTCTTTTTGTCTCTTATATGGCGACTCGGAATATAAAAATTCAGAAAATGGGGGCGTCCGTCTTACCTTCTTTCATCATGCGTAACTGCTCCTCCGTATTGCCGTAGGTCATTGTCTTTGGTTATCTGCTTGTGGTGAAATACGACCAAGTGCAAGAATCGTCGTTGTGCATGTAATCGTAAAGCACTCTTCTCTTTTTGGATTGTTTATGTCATAATATACAAATCCACAGGGCATATCACCCTTTCCCCAAGTAACTATAAGTACAAAAAATCTATGGTTGCTGGCCCCTGAATATATGGTCGTTTGAGCGGCCAAGACAGCAAGTCCTTTCCAAGGATATCTATAACTAGCCCTTTAATTCCTCTTCTTCTCCTGACCAACCCGGATCATCTTTGTACGGCCTGGTTTCGACCTTGAAGCAGCCAATATATACCCGAAAAGAAGAACACAAGTCACCAGATCAACGATATGCACCGCCCACCAGATATGCTGCACACCAGCCATGCACATGGTGATCTCATACTGCCATTCATTCACAGTAGTATCGAACCAGAGAGAAAGTAGGCCTGCGTTACCGCCGTATTCACCCATCATAGAGCGAAGTGTGACCTCTCTAATGGAAGGATTTGAGTTGTCGGTATGGCTATCGTAGCGTTGTGCGTCCCATTTCCAACTTTGGGGTTCGGAGTCTTCGGCGGTTGTTGTATCTATCGTTCGGTTCACAAAATGGACCACGTCGCAACCTGTGTGGTCGTGACCTGTCAGGATGAGTCCATTCCTTCCCCTTCCTCCGCCGGGGGCGCTTTCGTCCCCTGTCATGCCGAAAATCCCCTGGAGGACTCCGCTGCTGCTGATGTGGTCGCTCAGATGGTTTTGTTCTTTCAGTCCCCCTTCCTTGAAGCGCGGTACATCGTCGGGGCCATCCTCGTCGTCTGATTCATGGAACGTGAAGTAAGGGCCGTCGGTACATATCCCCTCTTTCTTGTGCAGGGGAAGGTGGGTAAGAAGGAGAGTGAATGTCGTGCGGTCTTCCACAGGGTACAAACGATGGGAGATCAGATCATTAATGTAGGCATAGCCATGCGACTGGACGTCCGAGGACAGGGCCGGGGAGTCGAGAGTCAAGGTGTTGAGATTGATCAGATGCAGAGTCGGGGGAGCGCTGAAGGGTGCAGTCATGCTATCGACCTGCTCTAATGGGAGCTGAAATCGCACATCCCAGTTCGCACGGCCAAACATGCGCTCGAACCGCTCAATCCGCGCCTCACTTGCGTCCCCAGAGTATCCTACGTCATGGTTCCCCACGATGTTGATGATCCTCTGCGTCCATGCGGAATGCGTAGCATTGAGTGTCTCTAGTTCGCCACTCTGCTCTTCGCTACCGCTATAATCCCTTGCGCCAGTTGCTGTAATATCATCGCCAATGCGCTCTCCACCCTTGAAGACCCGCTCCCAGTATCTGCGGCCGCGTCGATCAAACTCTTCGTCTGTCACCCACTGGCTCCCGATCAGGTCACCCAGAACTGTGACGTGCGTTGGACGACTCCACCAATGTAGCGTGCGATAAATATGCGCAAGGTAGTAGTCGTTGCCCAATAGATCGAGCCGTTTCCGGGCTGCACGCAAAGCGCGAGGGATATCTTCGTTGGCGAGGGATTCCAGCGCAGTTGAGACGGCGGTGAGAATTTGACCCGGCTCCGTCCTGTTCACCGACGACTTCACTGTCGCCCAGTGGTGTTGAATCCGAGCAGGAAGCTCATCTTCGGGCTTCGGGAGAGAGCTGTCGCCTTCTAGCTGAGGATCGGCTAGGACTAGAAGTCTAAAAATCGCGGGGTTCTCTGCAGATTGCGGTGAAAAGTGTTGGCGGAGCGCACTGGTAAATGAACTCGAGAGGATCCCTGTGCGATCATCCCCCGGCAGCGGGAATGCACAGCCATGAAAGACAGGGTAAAAATAGAGGAAAAGGCTGCTTGCTATCGCCAGCGGCAGGAGGAGGGATAGTACGCGGGAGAGAAGCCAGCGGAGGGACATGGAGGCAAACCGGGGAATCGCAGCACCATTGGCGGAGTATATCGTATTGTTCTCGTTGGTAGTCTATTCTGTTTCAGAAGGAAGCCATGTCAATTAAATATAATCTCATCTTGCGCTTCTCTAATATGAGGTGTAATAAAGAGAAGAAAAAAAACCTAAAACGACGGGTCATGAAAGGAGGGTTTGGGGTGCGGGTGATCATCTTTTATGGAGCCATTCAAAGCTCCTTCCTTCATCAGCCCTAATTTTAGAAAGTCCCGTCGGTATCAGAGATCTTGGCCCTTGGCATAAATTTACAAGACTGATGACTACTGGAGCTCGTGCGGTTTTTAGGTTTGTTCTCGAAGATCTGGCCAGCCAACGATAGAAGGAAGACCTAGCGCAATATTATTTGATAAAATTAAACGAGAAACGGCAGTAAGCTTGAGATCAAATAATCCAAATGGGGGTATATCACATTAACGCCAAACAGATCAGCGACATTCAAAGCAAGTAAAACAAAGTGTGATCAAGCAGCGGCTATCTCTTCTCAGTGACACGATCAATCTACCTTTGCAACTGCTTCAGGGAGCAAATGGGGCGGGCCGACATCAAGGTCACCAAGAGGGCTCGAGACCCGTTTCTGTTCGTCATCGTCCCCGTGGGTAGGCACTTTCTCATCCCCGAGACCTTGAATCATCAGGCCGCTCTCCTCCTCTGTGGTGGTTGTCAAGCGTTCCTCTTTCCCCTCTGCTCCCTGCGTTGCAGATGCCGTCGGTAGTAGCGCAGGAGGCCGCTGGTTCATTAGACGGGCTTCTTTAAGACTAACAGTCTTCTGTTTATTGGAAGTCTCTACAGGGAGTTCCATATCCCGTTCGATGGTAGCCTTCATCAACGCTGCCATCCACAAGCGGCCTTCTTGAATACTGTCTACCTGGAAATAATGGATAGCAGGCTTCGTGAACTGCACCGTCCGAGAAGTGCCCGATTTTGGTGGTACGAGCTTGAAGAAAAAAGGGCCTTCTCCGACGGGCTTGGACCCGCGGAGAGAGGATTCCGAGCCTGAGGCTTTATCGGATGAAGGGCCATCGGCAGTAGACCCAGACGGCGAGGTTGGCGAGGCTGTGGAACCAGTCAAGGTCGCATGCAGGGCGATGAGAGGGTCGTTATCCGCGCGAAGCACGCGGTGGGCTGTAATGTCGATAAGACCACGCTCCTCGGTGTCATCTTCTGAGTAATAATACGACAGACGACGACCACGCAACACAAAGAGACGCGGCTTCCACGTTGTCATAAGGTTTGAGGACTTCTTCTTCATCCACCCCGAAAAATTGCACCCTTGCATCTGCTCCTTCGGGGTCTTCTTCTCCAGGCCCTGGGTATAAGCGCTTGTATCCTTCTTCGACTTAGTCCCGGACCTAAGAGTGCGGGCACGTGGCAAGGAAGCACCACTTTCTGCAGCCTTGCCCGAACCATCCGTGCTATGTCGATCTGAGCTCTTTGTGGTCGAAGGAGTTGTCGATCCTGTTCTAGCAGAGGGGGACTCAGGATCTTTGCTAGGAGACGGGGGAGCGATGGATGTATCTATCCCTTTAACAGCCTCGGACATGGCACGGAAACCAACAGCACGTCGGAATTTAGGCCCAGCGCTCTTGATCCCCTGTAAAGGCAGAGTGCTCGAGCGTTGAGACTGCTCCTCATTATTTTTCCCTCCCAGCGAAAATGCGGCGAAGAATCCAGAGCCAGAAGACTTCTCTTCCGCAGATGGCGGGTTAGAGGACTGCTGGCCATGTCGGTCCGAAGCTCGAGTGCTCAAACTCCTGAAACGACCCTTAGGTGGGGAAGCTTTGACTGCGGGAGGTGTAATTTGAGCCGCATCCCTGATAGAATCAGCACTATTGATACGCGAGTGACGTTTGTTGACTTTGAGTTGAAACTGCTCATCCGGGATGCTGGATGGCGTGGAAACACTGCCATGGGTAGAGCTTCGTTTCTGTAGGACGCGCCGATTCTTTCGGGCATCTCCCTCCGGGCCCGAAAAGTAACCGCGATCTAAATCATCGGTAACGGCGGTAACCGAGTCAGAACCATTGGACTCCGCCACGTGAAACACAGATTGTGGGGTGACAATCTCGTTTGTTGCTCCGAGAGCTGACCCGGGACGCCGTTGGGATCCTGAAGCACCATTCAAGGTCCACCCCCGATCAAACGAGCTTTTCTTGTGGTGACGGGCAGGAGAAGAGTCTCCCACCCCGGAGTATCGGTTGGTGGTGTCGATTGAAGAATGGCGCCGCGAATGGTTGATCTCACGAATGGACGCGGCCGATGGTCTTCTAGAGTGGTCCATCCATACTGGAGCTTGTGATGTCAGAGGAGAACCTGTGTTACTCTGCATAGTGCTACTGACGAGCCGCGGGTGTTGTGTCGGGCCGTTGGGCCCTCTTAGATTGGGGATTCTGGGAAAGAGAGGGCCAGTATGGCTTGCGCGGCTAGGAGCACGTTCATCCTGAGGGGTCGCAAAAGATGAGCCGCGAGACGATTGCTGCTGCGGTATACCCTTGACCTCTTCCTGGAAGGCTTTGACTTTATGCCATGTCTTCAATCTCCGACCCATAACACCAAAATCGAACTCCTTCATGAAGAGGAAGTCCTGGTTCATATCAAGGAGTACATCGCCAGTAATCTCCTGTTCCTCGAATATGTCACAGTGTTTGGCTTCAAGTCCCAACTGGCGTAAATGTTTTGCCGTCTCAGAATGGTTCCATCGGCGAACTTCTTCCTCCGTCGGCTGTCTTTCCTCTTCTTCGTCGGTTTCATGACCGTTAATGTAAGACATCCGGTGCTCGAAAGTGCTGCTATATTCGCTTGCCGAGTCATTCACCGGCTTGGAATCTTGAGAGGCAGTCACACTGTGGCGAGGTGTACTCAGATCGGTAATGTGTTCATCAATGACACTCAAGGTTTCGTTCATCACCGGACTGTCCTGGCCACTCAAGTGGCCATCAATGGATTGTCGGATGGTCTTCTGGATGTCGATCGCCATTTTAGACGTCGGCAAGGGCGAGGAGCTGGACCTCTGCTGTTGTTTTGGGGAGGGCGTCGGGGCCGTTGAATCATCAACATCTGGCGCGCTCATATCGGACGTACTGGCACGTCGCGAAGCTTGGGGCGTGGAATCGCCACTAATAGGTGAAGCGAATATTTCCTGTCCCATTACATTATGGAGGTCGGTTTTCAATGAATTTGATCCAAGGGTGTCTTTCTGCCGGATGGGGATCTTTGGGGCAGCGGTAGTGTATACTGATGGGTTGTGCTTGAGTTAGCGACATTTCCTTTCAGACAGTAGCTGTTTAGCGAGACCTTACCTCCCGGGAAGAGGCCTTGAGTTCCTGTGTTTAAATCCTTTCCAAGATACCATCCGTCACCAAAACCATCGTCCATTTCAACCAGCTCAATTTTTTCGCCACGACGCAGGTTCAGCTCATCCGGTCCACGGGCCTCAAAATCATCTGCCAACACGGTCAGTGTTATCAAACAAATCGAGTCTCGCGGAAATTATATACAACGGTCGGGTCACTCACGAACAACCAGGAGCAGGTCTCCCGGGTGGACATTGCGAGGAGGCGTTGCAAGAGCCATTGGCGGTGGTTCCTCGGAGTCAATGAAGTCTAAAGAGCCAGAGTGGGGTCAAACGTCACAAGAACGCAGTGATAGCAGCCGAGGGATTGCGCAGGACATGGGGGCCGCAGCCCTGGCGGGGAGATCTTGAAAACCACAAGGGCAGCGGATGGCTGGGGCGAAGATCGTCGCAGCAACGAAGGTTGGGGAGTGGATGGAATGTAGAGAATGCGGGTTGTGTTGAGGAATCCAAGCCTGCCTCAAATGGGCGAGAAGGAAGGAGAATTAGCGGGGACAAGAAAGCGGCGGGTCTGGAAGGAAGTTCGTTTTCCCAGTGGCGCTAAGAAAGGGAAGAGGAGGGCTAGAGCGGATGATATATAGATCGCTGGTCTATTCCTCGGGAGCGTCGTAAGAAGCTAGATTCGGAGCGATAAAAAAAGAACGGCCGTTAGTTCTTGTTACGCACCAGGATCAGATCGACCGAAAGGAGCAGATGCACGTAAAAGGTCGATCTAGGGCGCTTGAGATGTGCTTTCAAAGGTCGGTCAGGATCACTACTGTAATTGACGTACAGTAGGGGCGCTAACTGAGCGGCAACGCAGCACGGGTCACAAGTGGAAATTAAATGGTCCCCCTTGGGAAATTAAAGCCTTGAGCAAATTGGGCGAAGAGTTCTCTTTTCGGCTTCTTGGCTTTTTGCTTTTTGCCCTTTTTTTTTTTTTTCTCTGGTTTTCAGTGTCCTCCCTGACCGGCCTGGAGATTTTGTGATTTCTGATGGAGAGAGTGAAGATGGAGAAGGCGAGGGAGAGAAGAGGAAGAGAGGGAAAGAGGAAACAACTTGTAGAGCCAGTCCCAAGAAGGGAATGAACTAATGGTGAGGCTGCGGGAAGTCACGCCGTTACCATATACCTTAAGGCCTGAGGGTCCCGGGTGTGGCCTGAGGTATGCAGCTGGAAGAGTATGTCGGATAGGAGAAATGAGGGTGACGATCAGGATTAGGGCCACAATAAGAACAAAAGGGGAACCGGAACCACAGGGAAAGGGGATTGATCCAGTATCCTAGGTTTAAGAAACAGATACAACTCGGGTGGTGCTCTTCAGTTGCTGTAGCATGAGTGAGGCAATGGAGAGGTCCGACTGAGCCCTAATTGGGAGGGAGGTGCGAGATGATGACTGGAGCCAGCAGAGTCTCACTCCAACGGCTACTTCATCACCGAACAGCTGTTCACCCATGAGAGGAAGGGTGCCTTACATTGATTTATATATATACATGGATCAACAGCTGACATTCTCCACGAGGAGGGTCTCCAAATAGAATAGATTTCTAATAAATACCAGTCAGAAAGATGGCGATCAGCTCCATTCTGTATGTATGCATCAGACAAGCGAAAACGGCAATCATGGCTCTACTGTATCAACTCAAAACTGGATTGATAGGATATACTTCTCCCCACCGAACCGAATATGTATGGAATCATTCTCGACTCTATCAGATTTCTCCAATCAGGGCGAAACGAAGATTCCGTGGATGAGGGAGCACTAGTAGTACCTCTAGTACAACCCCCCCCCCCCCAGCCACCGTCCAAGGGATACATCTGTACATGGCGTATAAACCTGATAAGTCTCTCCCTTGGATCCATCACTTGGCACTAGGAAAAGGACCCGGTATGGGATCGACATACCTTGTAACTAAGCGACCTTCTCAGAAACTTGACAGGTCCAGAAAGATTAGACTTCCTCGATGGGTTCATTCCATCCCAATACACTCGGGTCATGCATGGGGATCCTACGGTTCAAGAGGATAATCATGCATAAATGTTGAGCCTAACGAGAGAATCGGTTTGCTTCTTTCTCGTTCTCGTTCTTTTTCTTTTTCTTTTTGATTTTGGGTTTGGTTTCAGTTATCCACCTGCACTGTACTTTTTCTTTCTTGTTTCAGTTAACCGCCTGCATGGATAATCAGCATTACTACGACTCTTACTACATTAGCGTTGTTACTTTTAGTAATACTTATCCAGGGACCAATTGATAGGGAATGAATAGGCGAGAAAAGAACTCAGGGTAAAATAAAATAAAGTAAAGTAAAACAAAATAGAAATAGAAATACAAACCAAATTTGAAGAGGCTATAAAAAGCCGTGCGGAAGGAGTTGCTCTATCACACGGCATTAAACCAGTGATTCCACTTACTAAATAAACCCGTTAACTAAATATCTCATCATCACCGGCTGATTTCACTCTCAGAGTAAACATTTCTTTTTTTTCCCCCTACTTTGGGGGAGAACCTCATAATAATCTGTTCTCGGCGGTATGTACCAGTGTGTGTATGTATGTTACGCACCATAATTTATTTGTACCTATTTTCTTTTCTTTTCTTTTTTTTTTTTCCCTTTCCCTTTCGTAACTGTCTTGTCTTATTTGTAGGTCGGTCGGTCTCCCAGGCAAACAGAATTCTTCCCTCACCCCAATTTCAATTTGGACTTGAAATAATTTCAGATGCATTTAAGAGAAGAAAAAGAAAACCAAGCGAAAGAAGAAAATGAACCAGAAGATGCTCTGTCATCATGAGCCCAACTCCCCACTTACCTAACGTTAATTCTAATCCAAATTCCGTCGAATCGTCCAATTCCACCGCCAACATTTTTCTGGGTGGTGTGCGGAGATCGTGGATGCTGAATGCAGCCAACTGTCCCTCTTCATTCTCCTGCCACTCCAAAATACCTGACGATTCGGCTGCCGCTACTTCTTCGAATAACGCTGTTGCCGTTTCTGCTGCTGCTGATGCTGCTGCTGCCGCTGGCCGGACGCGTCAACAAGGCATGCGAGAGTCGTCCTCTCTTCGCGTGCTCCCCGTGCCATCTCCAAGTCAAGAGAATGCCGCATCAATCACCACTGCGGTCGCTGCGCCCTCACAATCTCCATCGCAGCCGAATGTAATATCCCCGGTGACTACCGGCCACGCCCAGCAGCAGTTCCAGCAGCACTCTCCCGTTTCTCGGGGCACGCCGTGGCACATCGTTTCTGACCGAGCGGGGCCCGACCCTCCTCTAGCTGTGACAGCTGCCACAACCACCCAAAGTGTACCCATAGCGTCCTTCCCAAATCCGATCGAAGTGCCTTCTCCAATATGTGATAGCTCCAGTACTGTCGTTAATCGCAATGGCGCGAGTCCCTCGGTTACAGCATTTCCGTCCCCTCGCACCGTGGGGCCAGCGCCGCTGCCCCATCAGCCACAGGCCGGGACAGCAGTGTCGACGTCTTCACCAGCTGGGGTTGGAGCCAGGAATCCTTCCTGGGCCGGACGCCAACGGGAAAGGAGTAATACCTCACTGCAACCGCAGAGGCAGGGCTCGCACGCATCTCACTCACACTCTCCAGTATTATCTCCAGCTTTTCCATCGTCTGCCGCCTCCCCTCGACTACAGATGGTGCAACCTCCTAATGCATCCCGGCGCAATCCTTCCCACGATCCCATCCTGGATGACGCCTTCTACGAACAGTCGTTGAAGACACTTGAAAATTTCCAAGAACAGCTGAAGCAGAGGGATTGTCTCGGAAATGTAGAACAGCCACGGACACAACTTCTCTACCAAGCCTGTGCTGAACGAGATCCTCTGTTCCTCGCTATTCATCAGGTGTATTGTCTTCATAGCCTTGCCCCACAAGAATTTCTCCAGTTGCCGGGATATACCGTGCTTCAGGAGTGTGGCTTAGATGTGATTAGGAGACTTCTCGTAGAAAATAATCGGGTCTCAGCGGGGTTTCTCAGATGGTCTACTCAGTTCCCTGCCCCACTTGTTGGATTGATGCAGAGGTCTAGATATCGACAGGTTGTCGAGCAGGCCGGGCAATGTCTCCGCTTGCTGGCTGAGAGGTGGCCCATGTATGTGAAGGATGTGCGAAAGCGAGAATTCCCACCGTTGGTCGACGAGCTTGTGAAGAACTTTGAAATCACATCGGGAGCCTTGGCGTATACGATCTTTCTGTCCACATGTCGGACATTACCCGGATCTAGGAGCGAAGAGCATTTGAAGGCCGTCTGGGAGCTAGATCTACGGTACTACCAGCAACGTTGCGCATCGCCGCGTCCGGTATCTAATGCACAGCTCTACGAAGAACACCAGAAGGTCATTCAGGCATACCGCTCGGTTTCTGTACCAACTGGCACGCATCAGCCAGGGCCACACCCGACCCTGTCCCACGGGTCCACATCGGTCGGAAGCGAGAGAGATCCAATGGTACATTCAGTGGCCAGACCTACCAGCACAGGTGGTCCTCAGGTCCGCAATCCTCAGATGATGCTCCCATTGCCCAGCCAAACTGGCCCTTTGGCATCACAGGGTACAATGAATACACATTCCCATCCTTTGCCAGTTGTGATGATGGCGAGCCGTGGAAGTTCAGTGCCTCATTCAGGGGCCAGGTCGTCAGGCACTCCAATACCTCAACCCATGAATCCGGAGGTAGCCTCCCCAACGTCGTGTCAGTTCTTGCCTCCACCGGCGCGCATGCCAGCCAATGCCCCAGGCTCTCATCCTTCGGCTCCTGTTGTCCACAGTCGACGTTCAAGTTGGACAAACGGCGCTCCGACCACTCAACATACTTACACACTTCAGGTGTCCGATCCAATGTCGCGAGCAACCGGCGCTCCAGCCCAAGCAGCCGTTCTACCGATGGTATATCCGTCTCAGATTGCGCATCCTCTACCGGGAGGCAGAATTCCGCCAATGCAACTCGCTGTCCAAGCCCCACGACAGGTAGCGACGCGACCACCTCAACTAGAGGTACGAAACAATGAGGTTGGACCGTCCATGCAGCCAATGAATCTGAGGCATCAGACTCAACCCCCACAGTCTCCGGTGTCTCAGCAACGGCCTCATCCACGTCCTCCGCCTACCCTTCTTCTTCCACTTCCAGGCTCACATCCTTTGAATACAATACCGCCTCAACCCCTTCGTGATGCTCTGCATCAGGCTCACCTACGTGAGCCACACAATTACCTGCTTTCTAGAGGGCCTGCGGGCGAGAAAGAGATGGAGCTGTACCAATATCTTAGCTCGTTCGCTGTGCCGCCGACACCACTCGGTCGAGAACAGTGTTCCTTCCATTGGAGGTTTACTTTGTCAAAGGATAATTTGGACCAGTTTCCTAAATCTCATTCGGCCGGAATAGGACAGCGCTCGTTCCGTTTCTATTCAAGCGGCAATCGAGTATATCGGCTGCGGTGTATCAAGATGCCCTCAGTTGCCAATGAGGTTGCAGAGTCGATGTGGTCTGTAGCCGAGTCGGTGTGGCCGAGTGTTTTTTACGTTCACGTCAATGGGGTGGAGCTTTTCGTTCGTCGACGAGTGCATAATGGCAAAGATCTCCCGTTAGATATCACGGACCATCTCATTGAAGGGGATAATATGATATCCTTACATTTTATCCGTAGCCCAGCTGAAGCAAACGATATGTTATACGCAATGGCAGTTGAAGTGTTGGAGATCTCAGATCTGGTTCGAGCCTTTTCCCTTGCTCAAGCCTTATCCCCTTCGGAATGTCGGGAGCAGATTTGCCAGCGTGTCTCTTCCAGCTTGCAGGACGACGAAGTGAGTGTCGTCAGTGACCATCTCAGCATCAACCTCGTGGATCCTTTCACCGCACGAATCTTTAGTCGTCCTGTACGCGGACGCTCCTGCAAACACCAAGATTGCTTTGACCACTTGACCTGGATACAGACGCGTGCCTCGACGTCGGGAAAACGCAGCCTGAAAAATGACTGGAAATGTCCCATTTGCGGCCAAGATGCGCGTCCCCAACAACTGGTCATCGACGGTTACCTTCAAGAAGTTCGCGCGGAGCTAGCACGAATAAATCTACTCGAAGGAGCAAAGGCAATCCTCATCAAAGCCGACGGCTCCTGGGAATTGAAATCAGAATCAGATGCACGACCCTCAGAATGCGGGCCCGATAACACCGGGGAACGAGTCCCATCTAAACGAAAAGCATCCGAGACTAGCAACTATTCCCCAGCTCCAGCTGCCCAGAGGCCAAAATCTGAACGTACCAACTCTGCGAAGGGGCCGGTTTGCAATACACACCCACCCCAAGTCATTGCACTAGATTAAATAAAGAGAGAGAGAGAGAGAGAAAAGAAGTCAACATCGCTATTGGGCCCCTTGCCAAGGAGAACTCCTGCATGACTGATGACCTATGTTCATTTGTTCTACTTCCTACCTTGCGTGTTCTTTGCATACTTGAGATCTGCGATTTCCTTTTGTCGAATAAGTCAGGCGCTTTTGTTTTGCGTACGATACCCAGCTTGCTCTTGTCTTTGTTGTTTTTTCTCACCGCCCTTTCTATCTCCTTTCTGTCTTGCACTCTTGATTCAATCACTGCATGGGACTGCGTGTGGAATTTTGGATTGGTTCATTTTTATCTCCATACGATCTCTTAGCTCAGAATATATGCAGATACCATGTGCATATTCTTAACTTGGCGTGCTATGTACAGTATACGAAGACGACAGAAGGGGAAAGATTAATTGAATGTCATGCGAACATGTCTTTGTAGTGTTAAGAGAAGTAGACTAGGTTCATTAAACTAGTAGAATAATTGACACGGCGTAATCCATGCCCTGTGTACATTAGATATATATACACACATTACAGGGCCAGGTCCACTCCAAACTAATGGAGCGAATCTATATTATATAGGGTTGAAACTAGCGATGTGACGCAAGGTATATAGATCGGGATTGTATATTATAGATCTCAGGCTACCTATCCTAGCTAACCTATTCTATCTAACAGAGATTATAATCTCATTCTAACGGGGATCATATCTAGAGTGAAAGAACGGATAGCAAGGTCCAGACCCCACCGAAACAAGAGGTATTAATAAAGTAATGAAGAGAAGGGGGATCTCAGATCCAAAATCAGATAGGGCAAGTCGAGACAGCGAGGGGTGACAGGGGGATTGATAGCGGAAGAGAAGGGGAAAGGAGATTCATTATGCTATACATTATTTTCTCACACGCCTAGCGTGATTGACAAGGTTCTCAATCACGCCTTCGAATGCTTCTTTCTCACTTACTAGGCCGTCTCGTCGTTTCAGCCAGTATTCGAGGACAGAGCTGGCGCGGAGTGTAACGTTTTCAAGCTCATTTACGTGGCCCTGTAATTCGCCGTCCGTGAGTCCGTCTAGGGCCGCGTCTGTCGTGGAGCATAGGCGTCGGACAGCTGAGAGGTCTAGTTTGGGTGGTGGAGACGGTTCGCGCCGCCATGAAGCCCTATTCCGTGGTGGGCCAGACGTCGACGGACTGTTGGCGCCACTCTGAACGTCGTCTTTTCTGACTTGGCTTCCCGAACGGGAACGGGTACCCGAAGTAGCGTCGGGGCCACCAGGATTGATTGATGGCAAAACAAGTTTCTTTTGTTTCGAAGCTGGTAAGATCTCGTCGAGATCGACAGGTACTCCTAGCGACACCAGGAAGAGACGACGGATCCGAGATTTCACCCAATTTTGGGGCTGTAGTGGTGGAGGTGCAACAAGCTGAGACCACAATGATAAAGAGCGTTCAGTGTTGAAGATGGCTGAGTTGTTTTGGAGTGGCTCTATGGGAGGGAGTGATGAAACTTCCTTAGCAGCGGGAAAGAGACGGTCCAGAGGTTCGTCAAGGGCAGCAAAAACATCGGAAAGTGATTGGCAGGAATCGAAATCTGCAAGAGGTGGCTACCGGGTATTGTCAGCATAACTGCCCTCCAGGGGTAACGGAATATCATAGGTGCTGGAGTTACTTACAACTGTAGGTGTATGTTGAGGTGTTTGGACCACGAGTTCCTCATCAGCAACCTCTGTACCGGGCTCTTGGAAATCCTCATCGAAATCGTCGAAATCGCCGAAGTCATCCTCTCCCATGTCTTGTTCCTCCGCAAAATCATCAAAATCATCTGCAGCCGCCGGGTTTGCCCCATCGTCGCCGGTCACAGGTGTTTCCTGCTCGTCATGACTCTGATGCGGGGGGCTATCTTGCAACGGTGACAGTGCATCTGCATTGGTCAATCGTCCATTTTAAACCCACACTATCATGGAGAGCAAGAGATTTTACCTGGGCCATCTGGAACAGTTTCCGTCACGTCGGGCAATGCATCACTTGGCCGCCTTTGGTGTGCTCGTGGATTTGACTCTGTATCCTCATTCGGTAAAGTATCTACTCTTTGGAGGACTGTTTCGGGGACATCAGCATCCGTAGAGATTCCCTCGTTAAGACCCCGCTCATTTAATTCCGGGCTGTGCGACAGTGACTTCGTGTCCAAATCCGAGGCTGTCGTCACAATATCGGGAACCGCATCAGCCTTGCGCTTTTCATACGCCTCGGTTCCAGGTATCTCTCCATGACTTGGTTCGTCCGCATCGACTTTCTCAACTATTGTCCGGGGAATTGGTGAACCTTCCGGCGTCAAAGGGCGCTGTGGTCGCCCCACTGTCGAGGAGCTTCGACTGCGCGACCCTTCCGGAATAACCTCAATCTCATCAGGAACTGCATCATGCTCCCTTAGCTCGTATGCTCGAGTACCAGGAATGTCGCCGTGCGAAGGACTATCGTCAACCTTCTCTACCCGAGTCAGTGGAACAGGAGATGTGCGACCGGACGCCGAGCGCGAATGGGCACGTTCATGGCCTTCGCTGGCGTCTGAGAAATGATCATCGTCACTATTTGTAGCTGTTGAAGTAATGTTGTCAGCGATAAATAAACTGGACCAACTCGAGCGTTTCGGTATGTACCATACCGGAGTCTCGTGCCCCGGAGTCCACCAACTCTACGCTTTTGCTTGGGGGCTCCAAGTGCGAACTGGATGGGCGGGATGGCCTTTCGGACATTAGAGTAGGTTTACTTTCCAAAAAGACACATGTAGACAGGTGACAATAATTTATGGGACGGGAAAATTGGAGTGGTATAAGGAGTATTTAAGGTTGCAGTGAACAGGTGGTGATGTTGTCGCTGCTCCCCTATGGTTAGAATAACTGGTTCCATGCGAGTCTCGAACATATGCCTGAGGCAGTGCAGGAGACATGATAGTGCCTAAGGTGTCGAGATAGTCGCCCAGCCGAGCCAAGCGCGGTTCCTCCAGAGAATCTCTCAGCTTCGGGTGAATAATTAATTGATTTGGCTGTTGGACTGCGCCAATCCCATACCAAGAGCCATTCACCTGCCGATTTATCTTTCAGGGCTCATCGTTCCTGGGCGCAGTGAGTTACCTTCAATTATCTGTTTCTTAGCTTTTTCATTGCCCTAGGATTAATTGACTGATTGCGTGTCATATCTATTTTTTCCACTCCAGGGTAGCCCTGTTGATACCTTCACAATCCAACGCCATGTCTTTTTCATTCGGTGCTCCAGCCTCCAACGGGGGCTCTGGGAAAAGTCTTTTTGGGACTGCTGGCAATTCAAATACTGGATCGAGTCCGGGTAGTCTCTTTGGAAATGTAGGAGCATCAACAAGCGGCAGCTCCTCACCTTCATTGTTTGGCACAAGTTCTGCGACTGGTGGCCAAGGGTCTACGCTGTTTGGTGGTGCCAGTGGTAGCGCTGCTACACCCAGCAGCGGTACTTCTGCGTTCAGTTTCGGTACTCAGAATAAACCCGCGGGTACCACTCAGGCAACTTCACTATTTGGCAGTGGATCCCAAACTCCAAAGTCGAACGAAACGCCCAGCTCCGGACAGACACCTGCCGGGGGTCTCTTTGGAAACGCCGCAAAGCCCGCAGGCGGCCTATTTGGCAACGCAACTTCCACCCCCGGACAGTCAGGAGGTTCGATCTTCGGCAACACCGCGTCCACAACTCCTGCTGGTCCTCCCCCCCAGGGAGGTGCTACTGGCCAGCCTCAGTCGCTTTTCGGGCAGACAGCACAGAAGCCAGGTGGTCTGTTTGGAAGCGCGAACACAACTAGCTCTTCATCCACCACCCCTACTACCGCAACCGCACCCTCCACCAACCCATTGTTTGGAGGAGCTTCGCAGACGCAGACGCAGACTCAGTCGAACGGCGGCGGTCTTTTCGGATCGAACACACAAAATACACAACAGAAGCCCTTGTTTGGCTCGACCCCAGCAGCATCCGCGGGAGGTAATCTATTTGGAAACGCTAACAAACCGGCGGAATCAACAACTCCGACCACCAGTGCTGATACTGCCCCCAAGCCATTATTTGGCGCTGCCCCAACCCCTTCCGCCGGAGGTACGACGAGCACTCAGACACCTTCTCTTTTCCAGAAGCCAGCTGCTGGAACGGATTCCACGGCAAAGCCTGCTTTCTCTCTGGGTACCACAAATGCTAGCGCACAGCCCTCTACGACTCCAGCCGCATCATCTGCTACTCCACAAAAATCCCTATTCCCTGCCATTGGTGGTACAACCTCTTCCGCAACTCCATCAACAACTCCTGCAGCTGCTCCTAGCGGTGGCATGTTCTCTGCGCTTGGGGCCCCTAAGTCTACAGGAACGACTGCACCGAGCACTACTGCTACCGCAGCCCCTGCTGCCCAACCCGCGGCACCCACTGGTGGATTGTTCGGGAACAAGCCTGCTGGGACCACCGCACCTTCACAACCCTCAACCACTTCCGCAACCCCCACTACAGCCACAGATGCCTCTAAGCCATCGTTCACCACACCCTCCGTGCCGGCGACATCGACCACTACTGGCACAACAGGCACCACTACGACAAGCAACACGGCAACCGGGGGCGCCGCGCTTGGCGCGTCGACTGCTGGTCCTACTCCCCCGGCTCAGTCTCGCCTGAAAAATAAGACCATGGATGAGATTATCACCCGTTGGGCTACTGATCTGACTAAGTATCAGAAGGACTTCAAAGAGCAGGCGGAGAAGGTCGCCGAATGGGACCGGATGCTTGTTGAGAATGGCACTAAGGTGCAGAAGCTGTACGGTAGCACGGTTGATGCGGAGCGTGCGACTCAAGAGGTCGAGCGCCAGCTTGCTTCCGTTGAGGGACAACAGGAGGAACTGGGTTCGTGGCTGGATCGGTATGAACGTGAAGTTGATGAAATGATGTCGAAGCAAGTGGGGCCTGGTGAATCCTTGCAGGGACCTGACCAGGAACGTGAGAGGACGTACGTATTTCCCTAATTTCATAAGCTGTTTTCTGCCGAGATGGCACGTACTGACACATTCATAGTTACAAGCTGGCCGAGAAGCTTTCAGAGCGCCTGGACGAGATGGGCAAGGATCTGACCAGCATGATCGAGGAGGTCAACGGTGCCTCTGCGACACTCAGCAAGACCAACAAGGCAGATGAACCGGTTAGTACAGCCTTTGCGACAGATTGCATGATAGCACCACTAACAGTTCTGCCAGATCTCTCAAATCGTACGCATTCTCAATTCCCATCTGTCACAACTACAGGTTATCGACCAAGGCACATCCGAACTCCAAACTAAGGTCAGCGCAGCCCAGAAGGCTGGGCAGTCTCTGTCTTCCCGGTTTGGCTATGGCTTCAGCAGCTCCGGCATGGGCAATTCGACTGCGGCTGATGATTTCTACCGTTCTTACATGGGACGGCGGTAATGGAGAGATAAAAAAACTTTCGGAATCATGGGTTTAGTTATACGAGGAAACATGCGGCGATCGTTATCATTGATCCGGAGAATATAATGTACTTGTGCTGGGTTGGAGCTGTGTGTTTTTTTCCCTTTTAATGTTCAGGCTATTGTTGGCAGTTTAACAATGGGCTAATGACAATTATACGCATCCATGGCTTGGCAGTGTGCCAACTATTGTATCTCTAAAACTCACAAGGGAGATCAAAATAGGAGGGAGAGTGTAGATTACATCGCGGGAAACTAAATCATGTATAATATGCTACTGTGATGGGAACCTGTGAGCTAAAGAAACTGCGTCATCTGAGTTAAACCAAGGACCTAGTTCTGTTCACCGCCCTGGTTCTTGGTCAACTCCTCACTACAATCGCAAAGAAAAATAAGTTAGCCACGATCCAGGTGCAAAGTACCCATTTTGCGGATCAGAGAAGACATACATGTGCTTATCCAACTCGTCGAGGTGCTTGCGCTGTTCCCTGACCTTGTTGCGGAGGGCTAAAAGCCTACAGAGACAAGTCAGCATTCGTTTGCAACCGGGGAATTTCGGACCGTGCCATGACAAGACAGAATTTAACCAATGGAAACGGTCCAGGGGGAAACAAGAGAAGGAAAGATGGATACATACTTCTCACGCTCCTTCTCGTGGATGTAGAGGTTCTCCTGGGCGGCTTCGCGCTTGGTGAATTGGTCGCTGGATGCATGCATTAGTGCCGTTGTCCTATTCACTAGCGATGATGTCATCATCCTACGGCCGGATGATGACCTCTTTCATCGGCTCAAAATAACAGGGGGGTATCAAGAGCGACATACGCTTGCGCAGAACCGCCGGGACGGGGAGCACCGGTATCACCTGCGGCCATCCTGGGGGCAAGAGCTGAGAATGACCGGGAGACGACGGCACGGTTGACGGTGGTGAGAGGCCTGATGGATTGACGGAGCATGGTGATTGTAGAGAGGCGGAGGGTAAGGTGTGGGATGTGATGCAATTTGTTGAAAGGGAGGTTTAAGAGAGAGTGTGTGTGAGGAAGAGAAGAATGAGAAGGAGGAATGAGGGGAGGAGTAACTAAGGTTCTAAAGTACCTGGTGGTGAGTGATTGGTTGCAATGGTACGTTCCTGCTGTTCTGGCTTGTCAGACGGAGCTGAGGTCGAGACCCAATGACGACACTCGGGTTCGCGGCGGGTCATGTGATATGGTGGCCTGTTGGCAACGCGGGTGAGTCAGCGGGTCAGGTGAGTGATGTTGTTATTCATTTTGTTGTTGTGGAATCCCCTACTACTTACTAGTACGGAGTACTCCTACTTTGCTCACGGGCGGGAAATTAAAATTATTGAATGTTTCTATTAATACCGCACGCAACAAGTGTATTAATTAGTATCACATTTTTCCCTCCCTGTCCGAAGTTCTAGAAACAGGGATGGATTCATTCTAGATGTTGGGCCTAGAAGCGAGAGAGAAAGAGAAAAGAAAAAAACATCAGTAATCCTCCGTTCCAGAGCAAACAACTGGAAACCTTCCTGGAGCTTTCTCTCCCTTATCGATTGAAGTTATCTCCGACACCCGAACCAAATCCGTGGTATCGTATTTGCTCCGGGGCAGTGGGAGTAGTTAGGATTCGTTCATTAATCACAGTTGAACACAATTATAATAGGTGACATCTCATTTCTTCAAAGGGGACTATGGCGCTTGGATATGGGCCTATGGAGGAGGTGACCATTGGACTAGGACCACTAGCTGCGAGGCTCATTCAATAATGGCAAATCACTAGGATACAAGGAAGAAACGACCCATACTGGGATCTCTGGTGCGGGCGGGACGATTGGCGGAGAGGGAAATAGGGATGACGCTGAGAGGCCCACCGAACCACACAAACGACGGGTTGTCTGAACGAAGAGAAAGGCGTCAGGAGTGAGTGTGGGCGAGGAAAAAGGGAGTCTGCGGCTAATCATCTGCTATTGTAGAACGGGGGGAAAAAAAGGGAAGATGAAGCAATCTATTTTACCAAAAACAAGACACAGAAAAAGGGAAAAAGACAAAAAAGGGAAAGGGATTGGATATAACAACTATAATAAAATAATACCAGAATAGTATCAAACAATTTAAAAGATAGAAAAGGAATTTCGAGCAATGCAAGGTAATCGGAAAACGAATTGAAACGTATAAAAAGACAGTCAATTCTGGATGATTCGGCCGTCGAGTCCGGGTGTATTGTATTCCTCAGGTGTCGACGACGTTCCCCCCCCCCCATTATTGAAGCGTTGAGCCAGACGCTGGCACTCAGTGATTGACTTCTCTAGGTCTCCGCCGCCAACTCCCCCCTTCCGTTTACTTTCCCCTCCCACTTCTTTCCCCCCTCTTGGTCTCTCTCTCTCTTCTTCCTCTCCGACTTTTGTCATTACTTTTTATTCCTGCAACTAACGCTTAACCCTCCCCCGTTATAAAACTCTTCCTCATTTTCTCAACCTCCCAAAAAATTTCTAATTTCCATCTACCAACCCCTAAATAAATCCCCCGACTTATCAGGTGAGAACATTCCATTTCTGTCATCTTCCACTGTTTTCCCCCTCCTTTTCCCTGTTTCTCCCCATATCAACCATCACCATCAATCATCTGGGTCGTCATCATCGCAAACCGTCTGGAAATCATACAACGAAGGGTTATTTGGGCTATAACACACGTGTGTGTGTGGTGTTTACGGGGTGAATTGCTTGCTGGTTGTCGTCGCTCTCGTTGTCATGATCTCCGTTTAGACTACCGCTCTGGAATCGCCCATTCGCGACGCAAGTCAACGGCTAGCCGACTGGAGGACCAGCGGTGCGACGCCCACTTTCAACAATTCCCGACCGTCCCCAGTTGCGTTGATTTCATACTGGAGTTGAATACTAGTTTTTCCTGGTTTGGAAAAATGCATGAAATTATTTTTCCATTCAACCTTCGCATGCTTTCTTTTTGTTGGGGGTATTAGAAGGAAAGAAAGATGACGACGGAGGGATCTAGAATTCGTGTTCTTCGGGCCACTTGACTATCTCAGCCTCGTCATTTATCCTGTGACTACCTGTTTGCCCCTCATGTCATTCATGACTTCGGCCCCATTTCATACTCGCTATTCCCGCTGCTTTTGGCCCCTACATTGCTGTGCTCGAATTTTGAAGCGTATCCACTAACAATCGACCAGAAACCTATCACAATGGGTCACGAAGATGCTGTTTATCTGGCCAAGCTTGCCGAGCAGGCCGAGCGCTACGAAGGTCGGTTTATCTTGGTTTCGTCGATATCAATCTTTCGGTATTGACAGATTGTTCAGAGATGGTCGAGAACATGAAGGTTGTCGCCTCTGCCGATGTAGAGCTTACTGTTGAGGAGCGCAATCTCCTGTCTGTCGCCTACAAGAACGTCATTGGTGCCCGCCGTGCTTCCTGGAGAATCGTCACCTCTATTGAGCAAAAAGAAGAGTCCAAGGGCAACGAGTCCCAGGTTACCCTCATTAAGGAGTACCGTCAGAAGATCGAGTCTGAGCTCGCCAAGATCTGTGATGATATCCTCGAGGTTCTCGACAAGCACCTGATCCCCTCTGCCCAGAGCGGCGAGTCTAAGGTCTTCTACCACAAGATGTATGTTGTTGTCATCCTACGTCAATGCGATTGGTAAGATTCTAATCGCGTTCTTTCCAACAACAGGAAGGGTGACTACCACCGTTATCTTGCCGAGTTCGCCACCGGTGATCGTCGTACAGGCGCTGCTGACGCCTCTCTCGAGGCCTACAAGGCCGCCACTGAAGTCGCTCAGACCGACCTTGCTCCTACCCACCCCATCCGTCTGGGTCTGGCTCTTAACTTCTCCGTCTTCTACTACGAGATCCTGAACTCCCCTGACCAGGCTTGCCACCTGGCCAAGCTTGCTTTCGATGATGCCATTGCTGGTATGTTTCAGCCGACTTGACCGGATTATGGAAGCGGACAGCTCGCTAACGTTCGTCGCAGAGCTTGATACCCTGAGCGAGGAGAGCTACAAGGACTCCACCCTGATCATGCAGCTTCTCAGAGACAACCTGGTAAGATGAAATGCACACACCACGATTCCGCCAACCTTTACTAACACCGAGTAGACTCTCTGGACCTCGTCTGAGGCCGAGCCCGCTGCTGAGAACGCCTCCGCTGAGAAGAAGGAGGAGGCCCCCGCTGCTGAGGGCGAGAAGCCCGCCGCCGAGTAAAGGAGAGATGAAGGACTCGCGTCCGATCATGGATGGAGCACTCGGACGACGGCACTGTTGATTCACGCGAAAGAGCTAGAGTGTTGAAGAGGGAAAGGGAACAAGGCGCCTTTGACGTTTTCGTATCATACAATCTAGGGCAAGGTGGAAGCTTTTTGGCGCCACGGCCCGCAGATGGAGATTCGGTTTCTTAATGCTCTTTGGGTCCCCTGCTTTCTTTCTCTAACGCAGCTCACTTTGGGGCGTGATTGGCTTCTGCCCGTGCACCGGTTCTCCATCTGTGATTCAACTTTTCGTTTCTCGCTTGATTTTTACCTTATTTCCCTTTTAAATTTTTTGCCTATTGCCTCAACTACCCAAAGAATACCTTTCCCTGTTACAGACTCGTACCCCCTACAAACATCAGTCAAATCATTTCCCCTCGCAAGACCTGGACTATTACCTGAATATTGTCTTGGTTGCTTTCGTGCCACCCATGGCGTTTGATTGTCCGCCTGAGCTCGAATTTAGATCTAAAGTCCAGCAGCAGTGGTAACAAAGAAATCCGAAAGTTCAAACTTAGCGGTCTTTTGTGTAGAGTGATGGTGTAAGGATGCATTTTGTACTGGGCACTGGTTCTGGTAGCGGTGTGATATCAGTTGAGAAAAAGTACCATTCTACACATCCGATTTCCTATACATCCTAAGAGTCTTAAGGCAGATCCATGCAACAAGCACGCCATACAAACGTCCTCTTCCCCCTCAAAAAGCAAATAAAGAGGCAAACACGCCTAAACGCTCCGTCCAAACTGACACATAAGATAGACCTTGACGAAACAAACACAAAAGCAGAAGCATGACACAAAAAGCCCACCCATCATAACCTACTATACCAATAACCTACATATACAGACCTATACACGGAGTAAAGAGACAAAACACAAAACATAAGCGCCCCCCTACCCACACCAATCCTCCCCCCAAAAAAAACAACAAACATCCATCTACAGAAACCCACAATCCAAATCTCCCACATGAATCAATTACTCAGCCCCTACTCCCCAGCCACGGTCGAAGAAAAATGAAGGGCCCCAAAAAATAAACAAATAAATAAAAGAAAGATCATAACACAGCTCAGCCTCACACCCGAAACATGACGTATGCGGCGCGCGGGAACCCTCTTCCTTAATTATCCTTTTGTTTTGCTGGGAGATCGACAGGGAATAGTAGAAGGGGTATGATGTATCAGTATCTGTTCTTAACTATAAGATTGGGTTTTATTATTTACGGGTAGGTTTATTTAATGTTATTATTATTTTTCATTTGATCTTTATTAGATTTCCTTTGGGTCTGGGGCGTTTGGGTTGGGGATGATATTCCGGGATGTGTAGATTTTATGATGTCATGTGCGTGAGGTGAGGGCTTGGGGGAGCTTGGGATTGATGTGTTTTTCTTTTCTTTTCTTTTCTTTTCTTTTCTGTTCGTTTTTTTTTGAGACTATGTTATTGTATGGGGGATGTGGGAGGCTCGGTTTATGGAGATATCTATTATGGGTGTGGCTGAGATGGTGCTAGTATAGTCTAGGACTAGGGACGGAGTGGTTAGGCAGGTGGTTGAGATTGAGATGATGGTGGCGTTTTGAGGCTTTTTCTTGACAATCCAACTTCCTCGGACATACGGCCGTGGTAAGGTTAGATCTGGTGTTAGGTGTTAGGCTGGGTGTTGGTGGAAGGGGACTAGCCTGGTATCAGCGACTAGCCCCGTACAACGGACGCTTGAATTACAAGAAACGGAAAAACAGTATATCAATATCTCTGTATTCAATCAAACCGCTCGCTTCTGGGTATGTTAAGCAAATGTCTTCAAAGCCAAACAATATCAAGCCGAATCGTCAGACCGGGACGATCCCAATGTACACGATAATCATGATGTTGAAATAGAAAACAAACAAAACAACGGGCTGCTCCGTGAAAATGCTTTACTCTCCCCGCCTCGCCTTTTTGCAGACCATGAGAACAAATGCGCCCAGTGCGGTTTCCTGTCGAATCAATCAAACAAGTCTAATAGGTAATCCCCAGTAATTTCCGAACGCCGAGCGTGCTATGTATGCCACAAGTACAGATTGCCTCCCGGTATGACAATATAAGAAAACCGCAGAAAGAAGAAAAGTAAAGGAGGTTGAAAAAAAAAAAAAAAAGGTAAGACAGAAGTAGAATCAAGTCAATATGGACAGTTGAAGATGGGCCCAGTCGGCACAGGAGAGAGACCATAGTGCTCCATCACGCAAGACGTCATCTGGTCGATACGAAGATCGGTGTGAACGGGATCCAGCATTGATCGTCGCCAAGCCGAAGTAGCACGCTCCTAACCGATACACCGGTGTGCAATGATGTCACAGGAGCAAACCATGTTATTCGATTTTCGCTGTAGTAAAACACTGTGGCAATCTCCATGCGTCGATCGAGGGAAAAGGCCGAATTCTACCACGAGTTATTGGCCAAGAGTGGTAAGGGTAGTTTGGTGCAGTCGACTGTGGCGAAACCATCGTGCGATACGTCCGCTACGGAAGTAGCAAATCAGAATATGAACTGGTGACAAATGACATTCGTTTGACGCCAAATGTAGCACGAGTGGCTCCCGGATATGCGCCGTTGCCATTCCGACCCCGCCGCACGACATGCAGTCAAAAATCGATTCCTCTCGTAATGTTGATACGTATTATAGTGCGGTGTGTGATCGTCCGCAGAATGGATGGTGCTCCGACAACCAGTCCAAAGAACGTGTCGCCAAGGGAGACCCAAAAAATGTGATATGCGTAGTTGCCGAAATGTACAATCGAACCATGGTGGAGACGTATCTCGTACAGTTCTTTGGTTTTCGCTATACAAGCGGAGACATCGCCAGCCGTGCCCATGGGCTCTACCGACCGGGATGTTGAAGGGCGTCGCGTCTATTTTTGCGACTTTCTGACCTTGGTGCTGGATCTCGTCATTTCACTCTTGGTCATGTTTCGGGTCAATCCACCAATGTAGTCCTGCAAGAATTTGTTTTCACTTTCGAGTTTGTCGTGGTCCGATTTCACTGCTTCAATACGTTCGGCGAGTGCTTGAAGGGACGACTGCAGCGCCTTTGCTTGTCTAAAACCATTGTCAGCCAACGTATCAAGTAGCAAAACAAGTGTTGGATCGCAATGTAGACACTCACTCCTGCAAGGTCTGCCTGGCCTCCTTTCCCAGCCGCTCCAGATCAGCAGAGTTACGTCGGGGACTCATCGCACGTGCGTCATCCGGGGGAAATTCTTCTTCTTCAATTTCAATTTCAGGATGGTCTCGTGGAACTAGTATGGAGGCACTGGGTTTCCGACTGGCCATACGTGGACGTTCAGAACGACCGCGGCGTTCGGTTTCTGCGTCGGAGATAGAAGACGATGAGGAAAGGGAGGACATGTGTGCGCGGCCGTTGTCATTTGGTTGGGGCATCGTCGGAACGGGAGAGGAACCGTGCACATCGGAAGTTGACGCCATGATTTTCTTTCTGACCCTGGTGGCGTTGTGATGGAATTTAAGGGCGTCTAGGGCTGGGTGGTGGCTTTTTCCCTTGACGAATTTGGGAGGTACGAAAGTGTGGTTGATGTGGCGGGTTTCCACGTCTCCAGAGTGGATTTCGGTTTCCAGCACAATTAGTTGCAAATTCAATCGCAGCTGGTCGGACTACCTCTAGCGATTAACCCCAGATAGAGAATCTGTGTTTCCGCTGGAGGTAGCTTGGCGATAATCGACGGCGTTGGAACGAGGAGGAGTCTCCAGAATGGGTATCGGAAACGCTAAATCCCGAATACAGCGATAGAAAACTGGGGCGGGGGGAAATAGCGCGAGAGAAGCCACAAGCAGCAACGATGCTCAGGCACAATCCAGGGGTGAGGACAGAGATAATGAATAGAGGAGAGGAGGAGAGCAGAGAGGGTCAAAGAGTTCGGGGGGGTGAAATCGCGTCGGTTAAGCGAAAGTTGGGAAGGCAACCGATACTCCGGCCAAAGCAATTCAAGAATGCTCCCGGTGGATTGAATTGCTCTCTGGTGCTTTAAATTTTTATTTTCTTTTTCTTCACTTCTTTTCCTTTGGGTTTCCCCTTGATGTTTCTTCAGTTTCCCTATAATCCTCCTGTGCTATGGTCGGCGATGGACTGGGGGAAGGAATTCAGAGGAATAAAAAAGAAAAAAATAAAGAGAAAGGGAAAAGGACGAAGGAGATGAACTCGTCGAATGATCCGAAAACGGGCAGACTAACAGCAGTGGGAAAGAAAGCCGTTCGGGTATAGTGTAGAGAGTGGGTTCTGGTAACAATCAAACACAATCACAAAGAACACGGAAAAAAGGGGATGGGAAAATGATGAAATGTGAGAGGGAGGGATGGAGGGATGAGGGGAGGGTCTGAGGGTAAAAAAATACTAAGCAAAAAAAAAAAAGAAAAAGAAAAAGCTACGCGGAGAAAGAGTGTGAGAGAGAGAGAGACACAGGCAGAGAGACAGGATAAGAGAGACAGGTAGAGAGGAGTCGATTAAAAAATTAAATCAAATAATAATCAATGAAGGAGAGAATCCGCCCAGAGTAGCGGTGGTGAATTTTCCGCTCGTAATAATTTATGAAAGAAAAGGAAAGAGACTAAAGCCGGATACTATGGAGGTACTTCCAGGAGACACCTATTCGTTGGGCAGAAGCAAGTATCGTGGTCGTACCTATGATGGAGCTGTACAACGCTGAAGAAGTCGTCGCAGTATTGAGTAGTATGATTGCTGGGTCTTGTAATACTTTTTCTTTTCCACTTCTTTCTTTTTTTTTTTTTTTTCTCTCTTTTTTTTTTTTTTTTTTTTTTTTTTTTTTTTTTTTTTTTTTTTTTTTTTTTTTTTTTTTTTTTTTTACGAACTCCGTACATATGTCGACTTAATTCTATTTATTTTTATTTTTTTTTTTAGATTATTAATGTTTCCATAGGGCATGTTCTTTTTTAATTGAATATTTGTTATTTCTTATTTTATTCTATTCTATTTTATTTACTTCTTTTTACCTCTATAATACGACGTTGATATTCATACGATCCCTTTCTCCTGATACATGGGTTTCGAAACAAAGTTGGGTGGCTCAAAAGACTCGTGGCCGCCACTGGGAACGATCGCAAAGGCAGTTCTGTGACCTGAAGGTATGGTATGTAATGGTCACAAAACTACACTAAGATATTTAGTATGGCACATAGTACGTATGTACCTGGGAGGAAGCACAGAGTCTCAAGTAATGATGTTTCGGTGAAGCGCCTGATTGGGATGGCGTGGTTGGGTGGAGGGGGGGATTTTGACTTGAACTTTTTAGGGGTTCGGTCCCCCTTTAGTTCTTCTCGTAGTCGGAATTTTTAGTTTCCTTTAGTGTACGTTAGTCTGGTTGCTGGGAGGGTGCACTTCTCGCTGTGGTTCGACACTGAGGGAACCCCGTCCCCTTGAGGGGGGCGAATATCAACCAACCAGCGCCCCTCATCGGTGGAATTCGAGGCTGATCCTCATTCATCCACCGCCAGTATGATGATCCGTGAGCTGGGAAAATAAAAAAGAAAAAGGATTGGAAGGAGCAAATTCCAACGGAAGACCTCACATTGGATGAACGATTCACCAGGGAACCCATGATGACTATACTCTTTGTCTGTTCCCCTGCCATGGTATAATCTGCTTGGTTCGCTTGCGACCTCACCTGATGGCATGGGTACCATTTAATATCAACAGTCGTACTACTTGACTCGGTAACAGTTAACTATTTCTCGACTACATTGCGCTATACTTTGTCACGAGTCGATCGTCTTCAAGCCAAATCGCTAAGCGACGGGCATTCCATGGTCCTTGATATTGGGAACGTCCCGATGTGCCGAGGTGATGGATCATACCGCCACGGGACGTACTTTTACTTCTGTGTATCTCTTCCGTAGTCTACTGTATGGGGAACTTCGATATATGCAGCAGGCAAGCAGCAGAAGAAGCAAAACAAGGAAAAGGAAATATCATGAATCATCAAACGTCTCAGGGGGGAGACAAAAAAGAAAAGGTCATGCAATGTCGATCAAGCGAAAGGCATATAATTCTCCATCTTTCAAAACCAGCAGGCGATGTATGCACTACATGGATTGCCGGTGGATTCCCAGGGAAGCCTGCCTACTTCCAGGAGAACCTATGATATCAAACTATATTCGCAGTCCGAAACTCGGTCCCATCGCCCAACATCAGCTGAAACTCCTCCAGCAGGACATGTCCTCATCTTCGGCGAAATCCATCTTCTGTTATCGTCAGGCGAAAAAGCTTACGTTCCGTTTTACTCACAGGTACGTAGCGAGGTAGAACTTTCCCCGTGAATTCTCCAGCACCGACTGGATACTCATAGCGGGATTGATCCTACTTGTGTCCACATGGTGTAAAGGTGTCAACCGCCGAGGGTCTAAGCTTGTTAGTCCAACGTTGAACTTTCCCCTTCAGTCCACGAGTCAACGGCCTGAGAGCAGGACGATCCATTCCCGTGGGTTCGAAAGTTTTCTGGCGGATCGTGTCCGCGAGCGACTAACCAAGCAGAAAAGCAAACGCGAAAAAAGAGGAGGCGAAAAAAGAGGAGGAAAAAAGGTGAAACCGGGAAAAGGATGTGCAGGAATGCCGATCCACAACCAACACCAATCGTCATCGGGGGGGGGCAGGTGCATTGAAAGAAAGGCCGAATCAGAATGCGTCCGATTGCTGTTGCTGATCGTGATTTTGGAAAAATTAAAAGAGTTGACATCATAATCCAGATACAAGGTATTTACTGCTTTAAATTTTTATTCTCTTACCCTTTTCTTCTCCTTTGGGGGAGCATACTCCGGAGTATCAATTGCAATTTAGCTCAGCATCCTTCATCCATGGAACACAGTCACTGCTGACTACTGATGGAGACCTGCAGAATCCCAGACCCCGTTAAGGCTATACTTGGGATCACTACTAGTAAGGACTAGATAATCTTTATGCAGCATCCTGTAGCTATAGTCAGATCTCCGATTCCCATTCGACAAGCTAAAAAATAGAGGCCAAAAGAAAACAAGGAAGCCCCGAAAAAGGGAATCGGTCAACCCAAAAGAGTGGGCGAAAAAACCCTCAATTCAATAATGAGGATTAAATTGCCGAGGACGATGGATGCGATCAATTTAGACGTTTCGGGGAAGAATCCGAAATTTCCACGTAAGGTTTAATAAAAGTCCAAAGGTCGAAGGTTAAGTGAGTTCAAGACTTTTGGTTCTTTTTTCTTTTTCTTTTTCCTTTTCTAATTTGTGCCAATTCTTGCCCAATTGGGGCAGAGACCAGGGAATCCCCTTACTGGTTCTTTGATTTGTCGGAGTCCACCGACGGGAGGTTAAGTTGGTTCGGGTCTTTGACACAGGCAGGATTCGACGCCCATGACGGCACAGCACGTCATAGGGAGACAGAGTAAAGTCCCCTAAATTTTTTCGACAGGCCATAATGGATATGGCTATAATCACTATCATCAACTAGTATTAACCTTCACTTATTGCATTACATTATCGATTGGATCTGTCCGGTGTGTTCTGTAGGACCTCGGTAGCTACATACATACGTGTAGTACTCTGAGTACATAAATACAATACCATCTTGTACGGGTGTCCAAAAGTACTGCCCCATTTCCTGTTATTTATTCTCGGGCCCGACTATTTATGGGTCTACAGAAGTATACACCATATATGGGGTTCTCTTAAGGAAGTACACGTAGTGAGATACCTATCTTGAGAGTGTTAACCTGGCAAGGAAAGCATCGCTACGATCGTCGCCTCTATCATTGATTCATTCACGTTCTTTCAGAATTAGGTCGTCCCGTCGATAACACGTCCGATTGATATTAATATGATTAACAGTTAGACTCCACCCCCATACTAAGTTCCTTAATTATGTACCACCATAACATCCAGGATGCGAACCGAACCCAAGATCTGACCGCTGGAAAAAAAACAAATAAAACTAAAATTAAAAAAAAAAAAAAAAAAAAAAAAAAAAAAAAAAAAAAAAAAAAAAAAAAAAAAAAAAAAAAAAAAAATCACACAGAAAAGACCGCCCACGATCTTTGGAAGTTTAATTGCCGCAAGGCGCAAAAAGGGCTGCATGTATCGAAGCCCCCCTCCAGTTGACAAGCATCACCGCATACCGTCGGACGGCGACGATCCGACCAAAAAGAACCAAGTAGAGTACGAAAGACAGAAAGCAATTGGTCTGAATATTTCCCTCCCCGGTCTCTTCATGATACACTTTCCTCGAACCTACGTACTCAGCCCTCTTCAATATGGACAACGAAAGGTATAAACCAACATGAGGCTAAACATTCACCCAGCCGAAAATCAACGGCTACTGTAGCATGGAACCAGTGGCAAGCGTTGCTTGAGCGCCCCCCCCCCCCCCCCCCCGCATCCGACGTGAACTGAGCTCGCATGCGTCCACTTTGACTTGAACTTTGCCGTGGGGGGTGGGCGGCGCGCGGACGTGTGTATGTGTGTATGTGTGAGAGTGTGCTTGTGACCTTTTCATTCATTGCTCCAGAGTGACAGTTGTCCATTTGACAGCGACAGCGGGTTTTCTGGTAGCGCGATTCTAATGTCATCCTTCCACGTAGTATGTACATACAACCAGACTACAGTCAAGGATGAAAAAAAAAGAAAAAAAAAAGAGATCAATGCCTAAGCGCTTTTTGACCTAACCGCTCAAAACGCGAGTACCTGGTTTCCCTCGTTTTTTCCCCCTTTCGCCTCTCTCCTCCGCTATACTTGCGAACTGGATACCTTGATGGTCAGCATCGTCATCTGTCATCAACAACATGGAACTCCATCGATTGCATGGTACAGTAAATCGGGTTGACCATACGGTACTGCGCCTAACGATCGAATACAGTAAAATAACCAGAAGTAAAAAGGTACCGCGCAGTTCCTTCATCCGCGTGACCGACTCCACTGATCTTGCGGGAAAATCAATCAATCAATCAATCATTCCCGCCACTATGGTTGCGGCCGAAAGCAACTTTACGGAGGAGGCGAAACCAACGGAGGATCCGTACACTGAATGTAAACGTCAGAGAAAAGTAAAAAAAAAAAAAAAGAAGGGAAAGAAAGAAACCAAAATCAACCAGATGAGGCTGAGTATGCTCTGATACGGAACGAACGAACACACAGAGCCATTGTTCCCTCCCCACCCACTCGCATTTCTACCTAACATAACCTGACCGACGTCAGTTCCAGTCTTATCATAGGGTCTTTTTTTTAACTTCCGCAGTTCATCCATGGATTGCCTCCCTGACCGAATGACGATGTTAAACCGACTGTCGATCAGCAAGCAGTGATCAACACTGATTTGGCCATTCTTCCATTCCCATTCATGACCCTCATTTCCCTCACCCCCCCCCGAATTATTCCTTCTCAAATTTCTCTGCCGTGCTGGGAAGTTTAATATCAGATGTTCTTGTTCTGGCAGACGAAGGAGAATTCGACCATTCTGATCACTTGACCGATTTCTTCACCGAGTCATGGATATAGAATAGATTCCTATCTGAATGAATGAATGAATGACTATGATGAATGAAGGAATGACTTGACTTGACTCTCTCTCTCTCTACCCAACCCCAACCACTACAACCCTATCACTACATAGCCCCCATCTCCCAAGATACGAAAACATAAAATAAAGTAAAAGAAAAAAAAATAAACCAAGATAAACGCTCCGGCACTAGTTGCATGTGGCTTCAAGCCATACCTTCAAAATTTGAATGCCTGGGGACCCAAGAACCCGAACTAGGGGAAACCTTGGCACGGCATTTTTCCCCTTTCCCCTTTCCCCTTCCATTTCCATTCCCTGATTTTCCCACCTTAAAATGGGTTCTCCGGAGAACTGGGACGACGACGGATGTTTTTGTTGGCTAGGGTTTATCGTAGGGTGGTTGGAGTGGGGACCGGGGGGAATATTGATAGGTTGGTTTCATCGTGACTACATACCTTACTCGATGTACTCCCCTGTCGGTAGGTACTTAGTGAGATATTTATCGATCGAGATCAGTTAGGTGTGTGGCGTGTGTGATGTCCTGTCTGTTTCTTGGGATGCTGAGTGGTCAGCGAAATGTCTGTCGAAAGTATCCAGCGAATATGCCCGCTCAAGGTGGGCTATTTTGGGTTCGGCCGAGTTGCATTGACAGACCGTCAAGTAGGGGAGGAACCCAGAGGTATGTCCTGCCCAGGTGGTCGTTCATACATGTCTAAAAGGCTGTACCACTTCATAGCCCGTTCAAATCCCGTACTTTTACCCCATTGAATGACTACGACTCTGCAGCATTGGCCCTTGCTCCGGAACACCAATGTGCTTCCGACATGCAGAAGGGATGTGTCTGTATGTCCGATCATCGACCCCGGTTGTTGGGACAGGCTCGTGTGTTCTGAATACATCATCCGACTGCCTTCACCGGAGGGGATCCGTTTACCTTGCGTGGAATACGAGTAAAGTTTGTCCGACAAGAGACCTGGTGATCAAAGAGAAGCCTTTTTACCGGTCTACATGAGCAAGGTAATGGGTTTCTGGTCTCCCTTGATCCTAGACCAGGTGGCCTAAGCTGGTCCAAGATGTAACAGGAAGAATGCAAAAAGTATACATTGGACCAATACTAGCAAGGAAATCATCATGGCATCCGCGAGTTCGGTCTTTCACTTCCGATAGACCCAGCCCTTGCATTGGCTACGCTGGCCAACTCCATCAACGCCGGGCCATATAACTCAGACCAAACGCCAAAACATAGCCAATCGTAAGAATGCTCCCAAATAATTTATACAACGCAACACACGACAGTGATTCCCATCCAGTGCCCAAATTTAGGCAGCATCGGGATGAGATGCACTCATTTTCCAATGGTACAAGGCTCGCAGGACAGCTACACCTCCAGATTGCGTCTCCACAGTCCTCCCGCGGCCTCGGTCGTTATAATCCGTCTGATGCAGCCCAAGAGCAATTGCATCGCCAGTCGAACGTGTCTGGCCGGGTGCATATGCGGGGTATATTGGTCTCTCCACTCCAAATCTGGAATCCCCGGATGAACGGGATGTCCCTTGAAGTGGCTGAGAGCCTTGTGCGTGGGCGCCGTAGTTCCGGTAGTCAATCGCATCCGGGGGCAGAGGGCTTTCGTAGATGAGAGCGTGATTAGTTTCACCGTATCGCCTGCCCCACCACATGCCAAACTTGCCGTCCTTGTCTCGAGTCATCAAAGCGGCCTCGGCATTGTGTTCGATCCAAGGCCGATATTTGCGGCACTGTGCCTGATGCCAATCATGGATGTACTCCCAGTCGCTGCCCGACCCCGTCGTCTGGTTCGCACTCGCCAGGAAGCGTTCCTCTTGTGGACGGATAGGTCGACAAAATTCAGTGAGATGATTGAAGAATATACCCTTGAATGTTTGTCCATCTTGAGAACAGCCGCCCCCAGAGTCGCATGCGTCCTCCAAGACGCCTCCACGGCCGAGGCCGGCCCACTCCTGACTTTTCATATTGTGCCAGCCTGTAGCGTTGATAACTCTGCGGACAAGTTCATGCCCATCGTATAAGTACTGCCATGAAGCAGTGGCCAGCCAGAGGCCCCTCAGCCCGCTGAGGATCACTCCTTGATTATACGTGTATACCATCTTATTTAGGACGTCACAGTTGCGGGTGCCGGGCTCTTCTGCGCTCTTCCACCCACTGACATGGAAACCATCCCCATAAAGACCCCCAATCCCCGTCATATTCGAGGCATTGAGCCATTTGTACCCCTCGACCGCAGCCTGCAGATGAGCGGGGTGGTGAGGATAACCATCCGACCATACTTGATCGTCAACACTGTTTGGTACGAAGGGTGAGTCAATCGCATCACCCGGGAAATAGAGATACATCGCAATGCTAGCCGATATATACAGTTCGTTCGTTATGGCGTTTTTATAAGGCGTTAGACGCGGGTTCCAAATCATTCCACC